CATCGTTGTCAACCTTTTTATTTCCTTTTTATCCAATTTTTTTTTTTTAATTATTTTTTTTTTCATTTATTTTTTTTTCAATTATTTTTATGTTTTTTCACAACTATTTTTTTATTTTCGCTTTTTCATTTTATGTTTTCATTTTTTTTTAAAATTTTACGCGTGACAACGATGGGCCACCATACACAATATCCAGTGCATGACGTACTGCGTCGGTCAAAAACGAACATTCAAGTCTCAATCGAAGCTGTTCGTCTAAGACTATTGCGCGCGTTGCTAAAACAATTGAATGTGTCCTTGCCTTCAAAATTGTTGGATATTTGTGCAATACATATGATATCACATTTTGATTTTCATTTTAGTTTACATATTACAATGTTCCCAACACATCCTATCCTGATCGAATATAGTTTTATTTTTATTTTATAATTACTTATCACCAGTGGGATTCAGCCGGTTCGCATCGTCTCACGGAATTTTTTGAAATCATCGAACCGGTTAGCATAACTGGTTATTGTCAATGTTCTTTTCGTAATAGAACCGGCAGAAAAATATAACTTTTGTGAAGGAACGGGCTACAAAAAAGTTGAATTCAACCAATAACTGCTTATCACCAAATCCAAAAATCCAGGTTTACTTGGACACGTAGTGGACATAACGATTGTTTCAATATTATGTTCGATATTTTTGATCTGACAATGTTGTTTCGGTGATTAGTGATGACGTCTTTCTTTTTGGGCAGGCGTTGTAGCGGTCATGATTCTAAACGGTGACCGCTATTATTATAACTAAACTGGCAACGGTAACTTAGGGCATTGAACCCTGACCATTTTGGTGTTGGCGGGATCTCTTTCGGCGTGAGCCGCTTGGAGGTAGGACGTATAAATTTGTATCTTAAGCAATCGGGGGACTTTTGGTATTATTAATTAGGCGTAGTTTAAATTTACATCATATAATTCTATTTTCCTGTTTCATATAGTTATTATTGGTCCCTCCTGTGTAATAGCACTGTATTTTACCGGATTACTGTTTGACAACTATTTCATCATTATTTGACTACTATTTTGACTCAACAATAAACATCTTTGGACAATCGTTTCGAACTTTGAAAGGAACTCAGACAGAACCGCGTCATCAAAAATAAAGTGCCTGTACGATCTATTTATTCCAATCACCCTAACGAGCACATCGCCATCGTATGGTGCTGAGCCGTTATAGTAAAATACATATCTCTCGGGAGGACATTGTCAAAATCTGCAAGTGTTGCAGTAAAGTATTGTGGGGTGTACCCACAGACCCAACACATTGTCAAAGTCTGCAAGTGTTGCAGCAAAACGTCATATAATCAGTAATTTGTGCTGCTGAGAAGGCCGTGTAGGCCTATTGTAATCAGCTGCAATTAGATACCGTAACGACCAACACCATGTCAACAAAATCTAGAGAAAGTCAAATTACTGATATAAAAGATGATTTGGATTCCTTGTCACCATGCGAAACTTCAAAAAGCAAACCAATTAAAATGTTCTCTGCTGCTGACAAGTCCGGCTCTACTAGCAGTGAAAATAGCTCTAGCGTCCAACTAGACCAAGGCACAAGAAATAGTGACTCGTTGAAAGCAGCCTTCACTGAAATGGAGAATGACATTTTAGAAGCCATAGCCGACTGCAAATTGTCTTTCGTCACCTGCAAAGATGGTTCTGGAATTCAAGCGGTGTTTCCAAAACTAGTGCAGTAAGTCAAGTTTATCTTCAATTGTCAAGGATATGAAGAACATTTTATTGGAGACTGATTTGATTAATTTCACACGTCGTTATCAACAATGTATTGAAAATATTATACAAGTTTCTGAAACTGCTAGTGCGAAAATATTAGAACTAGATGAACGATCCCAATGTTCTCAATCATATCGCCCAACTTCAAAGCGGCACCGTTCTGCTCGAACTGTAAGCAGCGTGAAATCAACAATGTCTGGGGAAAGCAAAGTTTCAAGCAAAAAAGAATTCTTCGACTTGCAAAAAGATGTGGCAGCAATGGAGGCTACGAAAGGCATTCGTAAACAGCAATTTGATCTTCAGATTCAAAAAGAGATAGCAAAAGAGCAAGAAAAGGAACTTCAGATTCAAAAAGAGATAGCGGAGAAAAAAGCCAGGGCGCTAGTTTGTCTTCAAGCTGAAGAGGCCGAAAATCCTTTCAGTGTTGATGTGGATCTAATGAGAGGTGCAAATAATTATTTCAATTCAAATAATAGTTGTTTTAATGCAAATTCAAAATCATCTCCTATTTTAAATGAGGCCCCAGCGTGCATGGTTATTGATCCTCAAATTGAGCTAAATAATTCAGATATTTCTAATCATGATCAAGTTTCATCCACTGTTGTTGATATTCCCTGCCAAGCATCGAGCTATAGTCCTGTAATCAATCCCCGACCGCCCATTACTAATGTTAGTGCTTCCCAAGAGGCCGTTTCCACTGGTATTGTAAATGTTGGTAGCTTTTCCTTGCCACCCCCTAATGTGAATTCATTCCCATCAGTGCCTACTGTTTCTAATGTATCACAAAATGTTTTTAATGTATCCAGTGTTGCTAGTGCTCCTTTTAACTGTTGTACACAAACCACCACTGTGTCTGCCAATTCAGGCAGCTTACCAACTCATTGTAATGATAATAATATCTCTGTTCCCACTGTGAATAGTGCTGCTCTTCCTCCACAAACCTGCAATCTTTCCCATGACATGACCAATTTAATGAGTAATATTTTATCAGTCCAAAGGGCTCCTGTAGCCAAAGTTAGGGTGTTTGATGGGGATCCATTGCAATATCCACAATGGGAGAGCTCATTTAAAAAGCTAGTCGAGCAAAGGTTGCTTGATGACGCAGATAAAATGAATCTGCTTGAACGTCACTTGACAGGTGAACCCAAAAGTATGGTTGAAGGTTTGTTTTTATTACAATCCGAGAATTCTTATGAAAGAGCTAAAAAGGCCTTAAAAGATCGCTATGGTGATGACAGTGTCATTAGTGTAGCCTTTAGAACAAAACTGGCATCATGGCCTAAAATTGGTCCAAATGATATAAAAGGCATGTTGGCATTTTCTGATTTCCTTCAGCAAATTGTTGAGGTTAAAAAGGTTGTAGAGGATTTAAAAATTCTCGATTTCCCTCAGAGCTATGTGTGTTAATCAAAAGAGTTTTGCCCTCTTCATTGTTTAACAGGTGGAAAGAGTCAGTTTATGAATGGAAGTGTAAGTTTAATGTAAACACCTCTGATAACTTGAAGGTAAACTGCCCCAAATACCCTCCATTTGAGGAGTTTGCAAAATTTATTTTAAAGCGTGCCTCAGTGATGCATTGTCCTGAGATGACAGTTTTTGATGAGAATCTCAACCCGTCCAAGTATAATACTGAGCAAAATAGTAAGTCTAATCATTCGAGATATGGTCATCGAATGAATAAAAATTCCTTTAGCACTAATGTTTCACGAGATAGTTGCTTGCATTGTAATGGGCCTCACAAAATTGGTGATTGTCAACATTCTTACGAATTTCTTTGGTAAAAAGAAGGAAACTGTTCTGGGATAATTTTTTATGTTACTCTTGTGGAGTGAAAATGTCCAAGGGTCATAGTGCAAAGTCATGCAAAAACGTGGCTTCTTGCAGAAAGTGCAATAAGGGCCATTTGACATGTTTTCATGTTGACAATAAGCCAGAACAGACTGAAAGTAACCAATCTTTCTGTTCTGAAGTATGCTCAATAGTTGACCAACATGATGGTGTAGACCAATCCATGATTATCCCAGTATGGGTCAAAGGTAACACTTCAAAAGAAGTGTTATGTTACTGTCTGCTTGATGGCCAGTCTAATACAAGTTTTATCACAGGTGAGTTGCAACAGCAACTGGGGTTAAAGGGTGTTGACACCCAGATATCATTATCCACTATGTCCAGCCGTAATGACTTAATTCGTTGCAAGGTTTTTAAAAATATTCAAGTCTCTAGTTATGATCATAAAGATATTATATCTGTTCCCCAGAGCATATACCCGAGATGAGATCCCTGTCAAGAGATCTCAAATTCCTAAATCTGAAGTCTGCAAAAAGTGGAAACATCTAGCTGATGTAGCCAAGCACTTAATGCCATATATGCCAGATCTCCCTGTTTCTATGCTTATAGGCAGCAATGCACCAAATGCTATCAGACCTCGAGATATAATAGCCGGCCTAGAAACTGAGCCATATGCTCAAAGATCCATACTTGGATGGGGTGTTGTTGGGAAAGTTTGCCATGGTGATAATGATTGCTATGTAAGTCATAGGATGCTAGCATGTGGTGCTACTTCCAAAGTCGATCCCGGGGAGAAGTTTGTCTTCTCTACTAAAGTAAAAGAAGTATTACTTCCCAATCAGGTGTGTTCGATGTTTAATGCTGATTTTGTTGAGCACTGTGGCAATCAACAAAATATGTCAGCAGAAGACCACAGGTTTCTAAAAATTCTCTCAGATGGCATCACTAAAAAGGATGGCCATTACAAACTTCCATTACCTTTACGATCCCAACAAATCAACCTTCCAAATAATTTGCCTCTTGCTCAAAAAAGACTTGGGCAGCTGAAGAAGCGTATGCTTCGAGATCAGAAGTACAAAAATGATTATTATAAATTTATGTCGGACATCATTGAGAATTATGCTGAACGGGTGCCTGATGATGAAGTAAGTTTGAGCAATGGTAGTGTGAATTATGTTCCTCATTTGGGTGTGTATCATCCAAAGAAACCTGATAAAATTCGTGTTGTGTTTGACTGTTCTGCAAAATATGGTGGTGTGTGTTTGAATGATTATTTGCTTCCTGGGCCTGACCAGATGAACAGTCTTTTGGGTATTTTGCTCAGATTTCGTATGGAGAGAGTGGCTGTGAAGTGTGATATTAAAGCATTTTTTCATCAATTTTTAGTTGATGAACCGCACCGTGATCTGTTACGTTTTTTTATGGTGGGATAATAGTGATATGACTGGTAACTTATGCCATTACAAGTTGAAAATTCACCTATTTGGTGCAATTTCATCACCTGGCTGTGCAAGTTTCGGGTTAAAGCATGCTGCAGATGATGGTGAGTCTTCCTTTGGTAAGGAAGCAGCAGACTTCATTCGTAATGAATTTTACGTTGATGATGGTCTGACTTCAAAGCCAAATGCAGAGGATGCTATTGAGTTGATGAAAAATAGCACAAATTTGTGTTCGAGTGCTGGTTTAAATCTCTGTAAGATAATGTCTAATAGTCGGGAGGTTCTTGAAAGCGTTCCTCAATTGTCTGTGTCTCCTAGTGTGCAGTGTTTGGATCCAAAATCTGATCCCTTACCTGTTGAAAGAGCTCTGGGTGTGGACTGGTTAGTGGAGAGTGATTGCTTGTGTTTTCGTATTGACTCGAAGGTTACTCCTGTTACAAGGAGGGGAATTCTTTCCGCAGTCAGTAGTGTGTATGATCCCATAGGTCTGGTAGCACCAGTCATTCTTGAGGGTAAGAAAATCCTCCAAGCCTTGTGCAAGGATTGTTATGACTGGGACGAACCCATTCCTGAGATTTTCAGGGTTAAATGGGAAAAATGGCAAAAGGATCTTTGTCATTTGGTGAATCTGAGAGTAGATCGTTGCTATAAGCCGGTAAATTTTGGTAATATCAAGCATGTGGAACTGCATCACTTTTCTGATGCCTCTGAAAGTGGTTATGGCCAGTGTACATACTTACGTCTGGTTAATGATTGTGGCAAAGCACATTGTGCCCTTGTAATTGGTAAGGCCAGAGTTGCTCCGTTGAAACATGTTACAATTCCCAGGTTGGAATTGACTGCAGCAGTGGTGTCTGCCAGAATGAGTAATTTGGTTAAAACTGAACTAAAATTGAAAAATGCCACAGAGTTTTTCTGGGTCGATAGTATGGTGGTACTGGGGTATATACAAAATGAGAGCAAACGTTTCAATGTTTTTGTGGCTAATAGGGTGCAAACTATCCATAATTTTTCTAGTCCATCATCCTGGCATCATGTACCTACCAAGGCAAACCCGAGTGATGATGCGAGTCGAGGCTTGCAAGCAGACCAGCTAAATGCTGGTTGTAGGTGGTTGAACGGGCCAGAGTTTTTGTGGTGTGAAGGAAAATTTGTTCCTCCATTAGTAAAGCCTGAACAGAATGATGAAGTAATTTTAGAAGTGCAGAAGGAGATGAAGGGATGCTCTGTGCATCGAACCATCGCCTTCAAAGCTGACTGTTCTGGCAAAGATTTTGATATCTCTAGACTTAATATTTTCTCATCCTGGTTTAAAGCAAAACGTGCAGTTGCAAACTGTATTAAGTACAAGGATTTGCTCAAGAATCCTAAATCTGCCTTTCAGAAAGTTACTTCTGATGACTTGTGCCAGGCGGAAAATTTAATTATATTTTCCCTTCAGCGTTCATATTTTAGTAAAGATCTAAGTGTACTAAAGAATTCTGATTGCTCAGATCAAGTCTCATTTAAAAACCGGTTTTCAAGATTAGACCCCTTCCTTGATAACTCTGGCATTGTCAGAGTTGGGGGACGAATTCGAAACTCTAGAGAGGAGTTTAAGGTAAAACACCCTGTTGTCTTACCTAGAAAAGGTCATGTCACAAGTATCATTATTCACCATTTTCATGTCCGTGGTGGCCACATGGGTCGTTATATGACTCTAAATGCTATACGGCAATCTGGTTATTGGATTTTGGGAGGCACTTCTGCTGTTTCTCAGCAAATACATGCTTGTGTTCCTTGTAAAAAAATTAGAGGTAACCCACATGGCCAGAAGATGGCTGACCTGCCAAAAGATAGGTTTGATTTGGACAGTCCGTTCACATATTGTGGCATGGATATCTTTGGGCATTTTTTCATTAAAGAAAAAAGGTCCATGTTGAAACGATGGGTAATTTTATTCATTTGCTTGTCATCACGAGCTGTACATCTGGAATCTCTGAATTCTATGAGCACAGACTCTTTTATCAATGCTTTGCGTAGGTTCACTGCTCGAAGAGGCCCTGTGAAACAGCTACGCTGTGATTGTGGTAGCAATTTCATTGGTGCAAGTAACGAATTAAGAAAGGCTTATAAGGAATTTGATCAAGTCAAGATCAAAAATTTTCTCTTACAGGGTGAATGTGACTGGGTCGATTTCAAATTTGGGGTGCCAAATTCGAGTCATATGCAGGGTTTTGTTGAAAGGCAGATACGAACTGTTCGTTCTGCCTTGGAGCCCCTGTTTTTACAGTTTGGTCACATATTATGCGAAGAATCATTTCGCACTGTGTTAGTGGAGGCCGAGCAGGTTGTTAATTCGAAACCATTGGCGGTTGCTAATTTGAGTGATCCTCTGGCACCTGAACCACTGACTCCTAACCACATTTTAACACTCAAGCCCAAGGTTTTGTTGCCACCTCCAGGTAATTTCCAAAAGTCTGATCAGTATCTTTTAAAACGATGGAGACGTGTACAATATCTTGTTAATGAATTTTGGTACAGGTACCGACGAGAATGCCTTCACCTTTTGCAAGAAAGACAGAAATGGGTCTTTACAAAGAGAAATCTTGCTCTGGGTGATATTGTCCATGTTATTGAGGATGGGTCTCCTAGAAATTCATGGAAATTAGGAAAGGTTGTTGAGGTTTTCCCCAGTGGTGATGGGCTAGTACGTAAAGTAAGACTTCAGCTTGCCACAAGTTTGTTAACAACCAATGGTAAGCGGGTTGGGGTCACAGCTTATTTAGACCGGCCTGTACACAAGCTTGTTCTTTTAATTGCCAATGAGGGTTCCAGGTCTGTGGAGGATTGATTGCATTACACCTTCATTGTGTTAGTAACTTGAATTTCCTTATTTACTGTGTTAGTAGTTGATTAATTTTATCACTACGTTCTTATTGTGTTAATAATTTTTTGATGTTTTGCTATTTGCATATGTTTTGTGTGTTTCTATTGAACGTAATTGACGGGTTTACAACTTTTCTCACAATTTGATACCTTTGTAATTTTATAAACTGCTTTCTGTTTTTCTCGTATGTGGGGTTTCCCCGATGGTGGAGCCAATCGTTTTGTAACCTTTATAAAGCGTTTTTATATTTTCGCTTGTTATTACTTGTTTGTGGGGTTTCCCCGGCGGTGGAGCCAATCGTTATGTTTTGACATTATTCAATTTGAAATGCTTAATGGTGCACCGGCGGCGAAGCTTCACTTTGGTTTTCACTGTTGGTTCTTGTTTGTTTTTATTAAATAGAAATCAGTCCCCCTTGTACTTCCATACGAGAGGAACTGATTTGGGGAGCCATGTAGCGGTCATGATTCTAAACGGTGACCGCTATTATTATAACTAAACTGGCAACGGTAACTTAGGGCATTGAACCCTGACCATTTTGGTGTTGGCGGGATCTCTTTCGGCGTGAGCCGCTTGGAGGTAGGACGTATAAATTTGTATCTTAATCAATCGGGGGACTTTTGGTATTATTAATTAGGCGTAGTTTAAATTTACATCATATAATTCTATTTTCCTGTTTCATATAGTTATTATTGGTCCCTCCTGTGTAATAGCACTGTATTTTACCGGATTACTGTTTGACAACTATTTCATCATTATTTGACTACTATTTTGACTCAACAATAAACATCTTTGGACAATCGTTTCGAACTTTGAAAGGAACTCAGACAGAACCGCGTCAACAAAAATAAAGTGCCTGTACGATCTATTTATTCCAATCACCCTAACGAGCACATCGCCATCGTATGGTGCTGAGCCGTTATAGGCGTTGCGGTACTAAAAGAGGATTATGCTTATACACGTACATACATAATAGAAGGAGTTCACTTTGTTTGTCGATTGGAAAACAGAAATGAGAAAATACAAAAGGACGGACAACCCACCACTGCTGTTGGTACGGTACGGTAGGCGAGTTGGCCGCCTTCCTTTGGTACGGTAAGATGCTAACCTAAAAATATTATTCACACAATATAATTTCGCAGAAGAGCAGAGAGGCCTTTACACTATTCTGTGGTGACATCTTCGCCATTGCGCGATGCTAACATAGAGGCTGCTAATCACCTGACAACCTTTCTGGACTTGGTGATATCTGAACGTAATTCTCATACTGTTGAGCACGTATGACGTAACCTTACGTCGGTGAGTCGACGCAAACTGAGGAAGGTGAAGCTGAAAGAACGAGGTTTCGCGACGTTTCTGTGTCTGTGCGTCGAGGGCGGTTAGGGTCTGAGTTCTTTAGTTTGTGGTGTGTTGTTTTGTGGTTGAGCTCGACAAGCCAAAGTTTTTTTATAGCCTATTCGTGGAACTATTTTTATTATTATTATTATTGGAGATAATGGTCAAAGTTAATAATTCTCATTTGTTAGCCATTTTTATATTCAAATCAACATTTCTATTGAATTTGTGAATGATCCATGCTAATTCTAGTAGTTACCGTACCAAACTACTGACGGACTGAACTAACCATTATAGAGATCAGGGCAGTGGAGTCTAAAAAAAAAAAATTCAACCTTAAAGAAAGATGCATCACCTCAGTTGGTGGTACCGTGGTGTACCGTATCTTTTGACTTACAGACTTATGATTCCATGGAGAAGGAAACTTTATCTTCGTAAAAAATAGGAAAAAAACTAATTTTTGGCATATAAATACAATAAATTATTTGTCTGTTGAGAATGCTTAGTCAACTTTAGAATTTTGGCTTCAACTACCATCACAAGAAGTATGAAATTTTGGCTCTCAACAAATTCTAAATTTGTAACTCGAGTCTGAAACGATTTTTAAAATTAGTCCTTGTTAAGACCTGTTATTGATATAGTGATGAGTTTATAAAATAACAGATTTTCACACCAATAAAAGCTGATAATATGTTCTCATTCTTAACTGAACTCGGCCACGGACAGAACTGCAGAAGAGCCATATAAACTTACCAACTTACTTATTGTTACTATAACAAGCAACCACAATTTTGTTCATGTCTGGTGATTTATGAACTTCGACGCACCTTCACACTTTCCAATTTTTAGTTTTGAATCATTTCCATTATTAATCTGTTATAATTTTTATTGATATTTTCTTATTTTATAATAAATTGTACCAAAATTTGTGTCATCATTGGTAGCTAGTCTCATCGACAAAAAGACAACTTCATCAAACGACACAATGGCTCTTAAAAGAATTCACAAGGTTCGTTGAAACATTCTGAATATCCATTCTTTTTATCTGATTTTCAATGAGATATCTTAGAAACGATTTCAAGATGAAAATCAGGTAGTCTCGTACCTAACGTACTTCTAGCTGGCGTAGCGTAACAATTTTTTTATATGTCAATCCTAACCCCCATCTGACTATGTCATCCAAAAATCATGTCACTACCACATCACAATCATGTCATAGATCTTGCCAAATATACAAACGATCGCCCAAAATGGTATCGACGCCGACGATGAAGAATTGACTGACGTTAACGATCTCTCTCCTATTGGGATTGTTGCGACGAGAGAAATAGCTGTTCAATTTCGGGTGCTCGTCTGCGCGTCTTGGGTGGCATTGTTTGAAGAGCCCTATTATGTCAGTGTGACGTCGTAGTGAGGTAATTTTTGGATGGTATAGTCAGGTGGGGGTTAGGATTGACACATGAAAAAATTGTCATGCTACGCCCAATAGAAGTATGTTAGGTACGTAACTACATGAGACCCGAAAATCATTAGGAATGAAATGAATTCACTGACAATCATGTTGTTACTTATAAAATATATCTAAATGAAAAACCAGAGAAGGACTTCTAGGCCCTTATCTGAGATATTTCTGTGTTAAGTTTATATCTGGTTACATCCTTTTTTAATAACATGTCTAATTTTATCATCTGATGAATTTTTTAATCCCAGATAGAGAAAAATATATTAATCAAATTATTATAAGATTTAATCAGATGGTAGCTAAATTACAAATTATGATCATGTGGTTTCTGTGATCAAAATGCAACAGCGCACAAATAACAGACCAAGTCTGAACTTTTAAAACAATTGCAGAATTAAGACTTCTGTTGGTTGTAATAATGAATTTATGATCTTATTCATATTTGATTACAGGAATTTAAAGATTTTGAAAAAGATCCTCCAGCACAATGTAGTGCGGGACCAGTTGGCGAGGATAGTAAGTTTAATTACAATATTTTCATAAACCAGTTTAAATACTACCATTTATTAGGTATTTGGGTCTAGTGTAGTTTTGTACCACAAGTGCTTATAGTGAGCGTAGCATAAAAATTTTGCATACATCAATCTTAACCCCCACCTGACTGCGTCATCCAAAATTATGTCACTCTGAGGTAATAAGGCCCTTCAAACTATACGAACTGTCATCCACAACGTGCAGACGATTACCCAAAATGACCAAGCTATTTCTCTCGTTTTCTCGCTTCAACGATCCCGATATGAGAGAGATAGCTGCCGTCAGTGAGTTCTTTATACTTTGGCAAGATCTATGACGTGATTGTGATGTCGTAATGACGTAATTTTTGAATACCGTAGTCAGGTGGGTATTAGAATTGACATATGCAAAAATCGTTATGCTACGCCCACTAGAAGTACTTAATTACGATAAGTCATAATCATTTATTCTGGTATCAACTATGTGTCTGGACTAACATAATATAATTCAATCTCATTCTCTCTTAGCCTTCAACATCTCAAGCATTTGTCCTAGTGATATGGGCGCTTTTTCCATTAGAATAATATTATTTAACCAGTCAGCTGTCATTGATTCCTTGTGTGCTGGAAGAGTTTCAATGGATGGATAGCCAAGGTTTCGTTTCCTTTACATTCGGTTACATTAAAACTGGCCCATTATTATGGTTGAGCTGTACTGGTAAGAGACGTAATGTGGCAAGTCATTTCAGGTGGTTTTAGTGGTAGTGGGTTAGTCTATATTATATTCAGCCTTGTATTTTTTATTTTTTTTGGTCAATAAAAATATTCTTCGTCCTTATTAACTCATTCCGTGGTCTGCTTTCACAATGATGTTTTATTAATTATTAAATGAAAATTTCATAAAATAAGAACCTGAATAAGATTTTGCGTACTGCCCTTTTTGTTCTCTTTGTTTCAAAAATACCATATGTTCAAAAAATTTGTTCTCTCAAAATATGTCGCAGGAAGTAGCTAATTAAAATAAGCAAAAATTAATTAAACAATTAACTATGTTCAAATTAATTATTGAAATTAATTAAATTCAGTAAGCTTGATTCTGACATTGTTGTCTTACACAGCAAATGTTGCCATCAAATTTGACTTAATATTTTGTTAGATATTTCAAGCAAGTATTATCGTATATAAGTATTGTTAATTATAGTTTTGTCTGAATATACCCACTCAAACTTTTAACAAGATAAGCGATGAAATTTCTAACATGGTCAGATTAGGAGTTCATAAATCCACTTCATTATTGAATAATGCAATATTTCCTTAACCTAGGTACTAACTGACTAATGTTTGTTTGCCTTGAGTCAGCAAATATAATAATAAAGCAAATTTATACTCAATGCCACACACCTATGCTCACAGTCTTATGACATTAGTAATTTGTCATGCGAAGCTGGTTTACCAGTGTGACACACTGCACAAAATGGGAAGTTTGTTAGTGTATTCTGGCTGCTAGCAGTATCTTATATGTTGGACCTGTTGAGACATAACGAAACTTAGAATCAATTTGGCATTGGTTCGGGGTCCGGTGCTTTGTGTTAGGAATATGCTTTGCCATTGTGCTTCTGAACACTCCGTACAAGTTCGCAAGTTTGATGATTATGTGCGAAAGTATTGCTGGTCTTGCAGTGGTAGGGTGTTAACGTAAGCGTAACCCTGGCCGGGTACAGCTTCCTCTACTAATAAATCCATGCATCTGAAACTAATAACTGGTTAACTGTTTTCATATCTGCCATGGTCTGGTAACCAGATGAGAACCCATGATTTACCATATGATTGAGTCTTCTTATTGACTTTCTTTTCCCCATGATAAATGCGAACTTGCCAGCATAATGAACATTGGCATACCATTGGGCTCTCTTTTGATTGTTATGCAAGTCTATTATTTATTTGATATTATTTTTTTCCAGTGTTTCAGTGGCAAGCTTCTATTGCTGGACCAGTAAGTAGTATTTTGTTTCATCACTTGGGAAGACTCACCTGTTTCAATTTTAAAAATGTTTTGTTTTATTGTGTTTTTCCAACTATTATTTTGTTGAAAAATATTTTATTCTCTGAGATAACTATCCAACATTTATATCATTGATAATTTCCAATATTACTAAATGCTACTAAAATTGATTATCCCAGGAAGTTCATACAAAGGAGAAATACAATAATACAATACAACCTTGGCTACATAGGACCATGCTTTAGAATTTATAATATTCTTCATTAACTACTCATGCAGAATAAGCTAAATCCCAATGTTTTACATAATCGGTTTATATAAATAAGAAGATTTTTTTGCCAAACTTTTGTAGTCCATTTTTGTGAAATTCATTCACAATACATTGTATACCATAGTTTATGTGAAAAGAAATAAATAGTACATATTATCGTGGATAATATGAGTAAATTTTTATTATTGATTGATATACCGGTAAGTAATAGTCTTCAGCATATGCACCATCTTTTAACGACTGAAAGTTTGAAAATACTTTGTCTAATACAATTTTAAATTTCAATAACAACCATTCGTCAAAACGATCAATTGGTTAACATTGTGTTCCCAAATCCTTTAACTTTATTCATCTATTTCAGTCTGATACACCATTTCAAGGAGGACTATTTTTCTTAAGTATTCATTTTCCTACAGATTATCCTTTTAAACCACCTAAGGTAAGTGAATCATCTTGTTAGTAATAAATTACATTGCTGATTTCACTATATTTGTGCTGTTATCTCTATCAGCTTTTGAGGAGCTTTTTATATTTTTTTATTGCATCCTTATATGTTTTTGACTTCACAAAAGAAGCCACTGCTAGGTAGAAACTGCTATAATTTAGAAAGATGGAATTTGGTTGGCGTTGCTTACCCAATTTATTACCCTTGGTTAGGTGTACTGGAATTTGAACCCAAGATTTCAATTCAAGATGCCAAGATATAGATAAGTCTAATGCAGTGCTTCGCAACCTTTTTCAGTTCGCGACCCACTTTTATTTCCATTTTTTCTGTGAAACCCACAATAAGGTGTTAATAAATGAGAAAAGAAACTTGATCTTTCCTATTAGATATTATCAGATCAAGTCTTCATAATTCTAATTGTTATTTTTTTTTATAATTGTGTCGTAATGACAATGCCACAATTTCCCGGTCTGATCGAAAACTGTATGTAACATTCGGAAATATTTCGCAACCCACCTTGAATAGCTTCACGACCCACTGGTGGTACCAATTGTTGAAAAGCCCTAGTCTAAGTAGGCTATGTCTTAACCACTAGGTCACCATACCCAATTTTCATATTCGATCTGTAAAATTGTACATGTACTTGTGCAAATGATAAACATAGCATATAGATGAGCATTTACCCAGTATATACAAATCATCCACCTTGATATTGGTATGGCAAATAAGCAAAGTAAAAAATAATGGAATGCCAAATTTTCAACTGTTTTTCTGTTGAATGGGGTCAACTTTAGAACATCGATATCTTTTATCAAATTTATGACTTTCTGTATGATCTAATATTAACAAAGACAATATTTTTAGACAATTTCTAATCTGTAAAGAATCTCATGGTGTATGGTATATTGGTATTTTATAGATAGATCAATACAAATTTTTCTTGGTCTGATTATCGCCAAGTATACCTGAGCAATGAAACTTACAAGTAGGAAGTTGAATTAGGCCAAGACCTATCCTAATGAACTGTGGCTTTATCTTATTTTTTTCCCTTCGACTATTTATACACCTTTCGCTTCGAACATGGCTCTTCTGAGATAGACCCTGTCATTATAGTTTGGAGGACTGAAATCTTTCGTTGTGGCATTACCTGCCCAATTTCTTGTACCCTGGATGAGATGGTGGGCATGGGATTTTAACCTACAATGCCATCACAGTTAAGTCCACATAATAACTCATATTCTCGTAAAAATTAATTGCGGAAGGGAAGCGGACAGATTTATTCATACTAAAATGCATATTACTAATGGGATTTGACCGTTATCTTATATATAAAATAAATTCTATATTTAATACATTTGTCTAGGACTATCACTCAAACTCCATTCTTTTTTTTTTAGGTTGCATTTACAACTAAGATATATCATCCTAATATAAATAATAACGGCAGCATATGTTTAGATATATTAAGATCGCAGTGGTCACCTGCATTAACCATATCTAAGGGTAAGTAGCTGTCATATTATTACGGTATGTTACCTACGGTATATATAAGTTTGTAAACAGAAGAAACATCCAGTCACTCAATTTTAAAAAATCATTTGAGAACTGTTTTATGCCATAACTGGGAAGCTAATCGCTACATTAAGTTCTCTACTGAGTCAAGATAGGCCGGAGATCATACTATGTATGCCATATTCAACTATTTACTTTGATATCATCAAGGAAAAAACTAAATGTTACATCGAATTTGAATATTTTCAGCATAGAAATCCTATAATCAGATCAGGCTTTCACCATAAATAGATGAGAATCCCAACAATAAACACTTAGATTAGCATAATCGATTATAACATATAAAATAAAAAACTAACTTCAGATTTTGCTTATGAAAAAGTATTGTAAGCCACATATTGAATTAAATAATTAGGCTATATTGTTTTTTTTAAACTCTGTAAAAATACTTGGATTCATGGCTATAGTGTTGGAGAAAATTCATAATCGAGTCTCGATTTGAAAAAAATTCTGGGGCCGATGCCGCCCCCTGGGTGATTAAAATATTTGAATCCGACTCTCCACTCCTGGTCATAAAGAATTTCAACTGCAGCTCCAAACTCCGAATATATCAAAATTCTGGTATCAAAATATTTGACGCATGCAAGCCTCTTTTAATGATATACTGTTAAGAATACTTAGTAAAATTAGTTCTTTTCGAGTTTTAGTAGAAAGTTTTGACTTATTTTAACACCATTGAAAGTCTGCATTTATGACTCCGAACTCGTGGAGTTCAAAATTTCAACTCAAAACTCTTAAATTCGGGGGTTTGGAAATACGGCTCACAATGGAAATATGCTAAATTCCCGATTCAGGTTCCACAACCCTGCTTGGAACTGTAACAGGAACCCTTGCACCACTTTTATTCCTCATCCTCATTTATTGAAACAAATTTCCTTTTATTTACAGTATTATTATCAATATCTTCACTTATGTGTGATCCAAATCCAGACGATCCTCTGGTACCTGAAGCTGCTAGATTGTATAAGACGGATAGAAGCAAGTATGACAGTCTGGCTAGAGAATGGACAATGAAATATGCCTGTTTATGATTATATCTACTTTGATTAAGATTGAGAAACATTTTTAATAAACTAGATTGTATCATATTATATTTGCTTCTTATATTTAGACTGAAAATTTCTTTCATCGAAAAAAATTCATTATGTTTAATTATCTATCTGTGATATTCGTTGGATAACAATTTCAGATTCATTTTTGTGAAACAAGATGTTGCGTATTGTTTTATCGTTTTTTTTTACATGCTTTACATTGAGGTGTTTATAGTACAACCCTAACTTTTGATAAAGTTTTAAAAAAGTAGTAGTTTGAAGGTTTTAATTATTATTAGTAAAACCTGAATTGCTCTACTGTCAGTTGATTAATCAAGGATATTCGGAGTATTTGGAGAAAAATTTTCCTTTTATTAACAATATCTATGATACAACGTAATGTAAATGAATAATATTCAAAGAATTTTGTTACAGTAAAATTTGAAAAAGGAGTTTTGTTTTGAGGTTATGGATAATACAATGTTAATTGTAGAATATCAATCTGTTTAAGTTATCGACGCTTCTACTTTATTAAACTCAGAGATCCAGTATATTATCAGGGTATCTCGTTAATTACTGATGTGTTAATATTTCTGTTACTATGTAGATTTCATTTTAATGATATTAAAACTGACATGGTGACATTTAACAGCTTTTCTGTTTAAACTTATCTAAAATGTACTTGAATATTTTTTTGGAAGACTACATCTACCATATTTCGTTATTGAGGGAATGTGTGGGAAAATTTTTGAAGGTTAAATTTGATGTATTATTGGCTGACCGATTTCAATTTCATTCTTTTGTGTTTAATACACTATGTGATAAGCATAATTTTGCAAGCTTTCATTCTCGATTCAAAATCAACATTGATGCACAATAGGCTTGTTGATTTAAAAAAAGCTATACCCACGCATAGGGCCCCAAAATTTTTTTCAAAATTGGAACCAGGGTATTCCCCTAAAATCTGTATGCGGCATGTGAATAAGCTTACTGAAGTAGTAGAATAATAGTTATTGATAATTTGAAAATTGTGTGCTCATTTTGTTGGGACAAAATGTTTATATTGGCTGTAATACACTTATTAAAAGGGAAGCATTATAATAATTTATCACTATTTTCAATTCAACCGGGAATATACATTTTTTTTTGTTTCACATATGTTTGAATCAGGAATAATCAAAACTGTATAATTTGACTCCTCTGAGTTTATTTTTAAAAATGTTTTCAAATATGTAAATTAGATCATTCTAAATTGGCTTATTTTAAAAAAACACATACTTATACATATTCATGCGTATTTATCAATGCTCTTTTTTATTATGAAAAAGAGTTATAATAAAGACATTAATCGGCTTGCTGTTTTCAATATGTACCGTACCTAAAATGGCCCTTCTCTGATATGTGATATGAAATTCTCAAAATGATATCTCCCAATTTGAATTAATCTCAAAATACTACCCATATTGAATCTGAATATAACTATTAACTACTGGTACTACTTTTGAAAGTTTTGTTTTTGTAATATTGCTCCTTTTAATTCTAAACTAATCATTTAGGCAAATGTATTGATTGTGTAACATTTTATGTATAAAGAACATAAGGAAATACCTATTTATACAAATAGGACTGGGAGTCTGGGATTATTGTAAATTTTGCGACATTTGGTTATTGGCAATATAACACGAAAAATTTAACTTAATCTTCATTGTATCATTCTGTTTTCAATTCCCATTCATCCAACTTTTTCCAAACCACACATTTACATTTCTAGCCAAGTTTGCATTTATTGGCTATCTCGCCAAATTTTAAAATGATTTCTATCAGTTCCGAAAGTTAACCAGAGTTCAAATGTTCTTATTTTTGTCCGCTGATAATTTGTGAAGATAATTCTCTCATAGTTTATGCTTACCTAAATGATTCTGTTATTTGCTTGTCTGCATGGTGTATTGCTTTTTTAGCACTGGGTAAAATTCATAACATTTCTTGTGTATTTTATAACAGATATAGAATCTAAGTATATTTAAACAATATTCCTGGAGACCGTGAATTTGTTGGCATTACTCTTATTTTTTGATTTTACCAATCAAGTTTACCCTTCGCATTTGAAAAAATGGCTTTGAAAAGAATAAATAAGGTAAGTGACTCAGTATTACATAATCTGTTCTTTTCATTGCATTATTGTTGCATTATTAATATAACACAGATTATGTGTTAAGTTACTAGATCTAAAATGCATCATATCGAAGGAATCGACCCAAAGGGACAAAACTTGAAAAAAGTAAAACATTTATTTTTTTGAATATGGTTTTTGAATATGGAATCTTGAATCGGGGGTTAATAATGTTCAATAAAGAATCTACTTAATCAATATAAAAATAGAAAATATAGAAAGGAAATTAGGTAATGGTGATAAGTTGATTACACATCAAAAGTTAGTACTGTTCTGTTCAACTTACACAGGAATGCTTTATCTGAAAATTCAAAAGATTTAAATCAAAATTGTGAATTAAGTCCCAATGATGTAGCAATTCACATAGGTACAGATGAGCAGTAAGCACTGCCATTGTTACACAATATTGAACTTGAAACAATGACATTCTAGCAAAACGATACTCATATAAAATTTGTGTCCAATATTAACAATATATAACATACAGTTATAAATACAAAAACATACAGCTACTCAACTGGCGGACCGCTGTCCGAATCCGGACCTTTCGAGTATTTGATTCGGACCGCACGTAATTCTTTATTTTGGATCATTAGACCCACTTTCGAAGTTTCTTTTCATAAAATGATCTTTATATTTTTGAATATACCGGTATATCTAAAGAACTATAACATCATAATAAACAATTTTGATTAGCTAATAATCATTAGCCAGTCGAGGAAGTGTGCGAATAGGGATGGCGAAATATAATTTCTGGGAAAACCGGGCCCAAATAATTTTGAAGTTTTGTATGCGAATCTTCGATGAAAATAGTTGAGTACCCCTGCCCTAGAGCTCACTCAAATTCAGGACACAGTAGTTATTCTCAAATCTCGATAAATTGTATTTGGACCAGCTGGTGTAGTAGTAGCAATACATGGTGTTCATGAGGGCTTTATATTTTTCAAAGTTCAAAGGGAACTTATCGATATAGTTTGTTGAAAATGAAGTAAGAAAATTCAATAAACACTGATTCAAATAAAACAAACCTGGTTAAGATATATTGAGAACTGACCTCACGAAAAAATTAAAATAGTAACAGGACTTGAATAAATACTCTGTAGTCTGTATATTTTTTAAATCTCCGTTACTCAGCACACAAATGGCAAGCACAACTTTTATTGAATTTTCAAAAAAAACGAAACAATTTTATGCGCTCAGAAAAAGTATAAACACATCCAAAATATCTAATCGTTTATTTCTAATGACAGGAACTGTCGGAAATTGGAAGAGATCCTCCAGCACAGTGCAGCGCTGGACCAGTTGGTGACGATTGTAAGTTCCTCGTTCACATTAATTACATTTTGTAGATTACTTATATGATTAACATGGAAAAAATTCAAGTATTGCTTCGAACTATGCTCACAAGAATTGCAGTCTCTTTTTCTATGCATGATTGCTCGAAGCACTGTTTCAAGTGTGAGTGAGTTTACCGATAAGTGAATGTACCTAGTTGTGTTTATATTTTAGGTGAAACTTAGTGACGTCCAGCTTGGCCCTTACAATAGTATATGCCAAACTGGAATGATGCTGGCTAGTTTAAACCTAATAGTATTTTCATATGTCTGAATTTCCGCTTGTCTATAGTTTTTTTAGGTGAAAAGTTAAGAGAATCTTGTCGAAAAGCGTCTTTACATTGATTAGTTATCTATTTTTACTCATTTCCACACTTTCACTCTAAACAAGGCTGTGTACAAGCAACCATGTTTTAGAAAGACCTACATATGTCTGGTTCAGAATTACCCAATATAGCGTTTGAGGTCATGCACTTTGACTTATCATACCCAAACTTTTTCGGTCCATTCCTTCCTATGCTTTTTTAAAACTATTCATCCCCAAACAATGCATAAAAATTCTGTTGCTTCTATCTTCATCAAAGGATCCTTAGTTAGAGATCCAACATACACTCTATAGATTTAATTCTAATACCATGACGAATTGAATCATGCAGGATTGCATATACAAATTATCAGCTGTGCCTGCGTATATTGACAGGAAAGAATGGTATAGACACTGTCATTGATTATGTATGTATGCGTGCTATGTCAAGATTTTAATCTATTATTATTTGCATATTCTTTTACAGTATTTCACTGGCAAGCGACTATAATGGGACCTGTAAGTAGTTTTCATTATTAGAATTTATTTATTTTTAAATTCTGTTTTTTTGCTTGCAAATTGACCCCAAATGCAAGTTTACCCTTAAAAGACGGTAAACTATTGTCTATTGTCATAATGCAATTTTTTCTTTCGGATTAAAACTCTTTTTTGACTCGTTCCATTTTTGGTCTTTGTTTAAAAATGATGAAAATTGAATATTTTTAAAATCGAATAATTAAATGTAATTCAGTTTCTCTAAATAAACATTTTCAGTTCTTGAAATTTCTACTAAATTCAAAACTACTTTCAAAAATTAAACACTCATTTTAAATTCATAGCCAAAAAAGAAAATGGCACAATTTAGAGCACCCTAGAAGTTTGTGTACCAATATGGAGATAACTAAATTTGTTCGTCTACTCCACATCAAGTTGTGTAAAGGGACTGAAACCTATGGGCAGGGGGTATATATTCACTTGGCTAACACAGACGGCCCCCGAAAGCGTAATCGAGCTAAAATAAGGAAAATCAGAATAAAATTATGGCCTAACCTAACCTGGTACACGGGAGTACATTACGGGAGTACCTACCTAATTTAGTATATCTGTGATTAAACCCCTATTTCATAAGTAACAAGAGAATTCAGTATATTGATGATCGATTTTTGATCGTCATACTTATATAAGAATATTTTTATCAGCAATTTGAAAATTGCAACATCCTATTCTTATATAATAAATATATATAGTGTTTGTGATTATAATCTGTCGATTCGCTTCCATGCCACTATGCCGTTGTTGGGTGTGAGATGTTGATTGACGATTTTGTATTCTAGAATAAGCTCTTGCCGATACATTTTAATTTTTTTACGTATTTATGTAAAAAAAATTCTGGAGTACAATTAACGACTATAATAAAAAAAATAAATAAATAAAATAATTTAAATAGCAGTAAGCAGCAGTAATGAAGATCCCTATTTGCAAGTGTGTGTGTTGATTATAAATTATCACAATACCTAGAGAGAAAGGAGAATACAAACAATTAGGGGTGAACATATAAATAAATGGTCCCCAATGGCTTATGATTATCCAATGGATTTGTATTTCACAGGGCGCCCAAGTATATTTCAATACTTTACTTTTTGGGTTATAGAGCTGACATGGGCAAACTACAGCCCTCGGACCATATTCGGCCCAGTGGGTAATTCAATCTGGCCCGCCTGATGCTGCCACGTCCAAATTGAAACCGAATTTTTATGTTTTAGCTAAAAATTAGCTCAAGGAATTTGTCGAGATTGCGATTACATTTAGTTCTGGCATGAGGCTTATTGTTTTCCACTTTTTCTTCTGTTAAACTGTAAATATTGTTAATAAAATGTAACGTTTATGTCCCCACTTACATGGCCCACCAATCTAGGTGGTAAAATTTTTGGTTTGTGGTCCAAAAACCTTGGTCACTCTTGTTATAGAGTGATTAACTAACCTCTGTATAAATAAAAGTCATTGAAAGAAACTTATCTAGAGTTAATGGGGTCAATGCTTCAAAATAAAGAATCAGACACGGTCCGAATCGAATACTTAAAAGGTCTGATTTCGGACCACAGTCCACCAGTTGAATAGCCCTGGTGTAAAGGACATACCATTGTGACTTTCTCATTCATGTTACGTAATACCACTTCCTCTTTTCACTGTACGTTTTGACAACGAGAGTCACATCACAATGTAAACACTATCCTATTCATCTATGAAATCGTCTTGTGGGACAATTCTTGTGTAGCTATTTCATTTTGCCAGTTGTATTCAAATTTCGGTGAAGCTCTGTTGAAATTTAATAATATTTGATTAGTGTATTTTCATTTCCACTATTTATATATATAGATGCTCTAATTAATTTTCTTTTTAATCCCATGACATCTACCGATATATAAAACTTATTTATGGATTGATAACGTGTTGATATTCAGAAGGGTCGAAACATCTCTCACTTTGCTGTTTTAGTCTAAACTACAGCGGGTGTTCATAAAGTAAAGTATTAGGGATGGGACAAGTCCGGCATTACAGAGATTCAACGAATCCGAGTAATAGGTCAAAGACTCTAATCGAATCCTCGAGTCCGTGATGTCACAATGTGAAAGCAGAAAACCATGCTACAACATCTAGAGAGACCCTATTGGTTGATCCAGATCATGTTTCATTTTTACGCGAATCAAAAACTCAAAAATATTGCGCTGACACATGTATACCAAAAAGGATAGATAGTTTGAAAGTGACTAGCGTAACATTATTATTATAAGCGATCAATAGTTTTTAACTTGTGTTATATTATCTGGATAAGGCCTATGTCGTCGTTTTTATTAGGAGTGTTTTGAATACACACATGGGATATTGTTACAGATCTAACCTTGAATTTTAACTAGTTAAGGTATGTAGTGAGATTTATAGAGGCAAAAGTACAAATATAGGCGTAAATTAGTAAAAACAGAATTGATTATAGACTCTGTAAAAATGACGTGAACTCGAAATCGAATCCGAGGCCAAAAAAATGTCTGGATTGGACTCGAATCCGAGTCTGGATCCGAATCCCGGCCCATCCCTATAAAGTATTACAATTTTTGAAATCGCAAAGGGAATTTATCGATATCGTATAATATAGTTTGTTGGATGTATTAAAAATGAAGTGAAAAAAAAAACTTGAAAACTGATTAAAATAAAAATACCTGGATAATAAGGTACAGTAAGTCCCTGGGTTACGACGTTCCTGACTTACGATGTTTCGAGGTTACGAGCGCACTCCATAAAAATATAAAAGATAATACTGTAATATCGAAGCCCTTAAAAATCATCATCATGCCCATTATCATGTTCTAATATTAGGTAGATGGCAATACCACGCTACATTCTAATTTGCATACGCCTTTCCGGGTTTATGTTATAAATCAGGTACCGGTATATATATTCAAAATTATACGGGATGACCCCAAAAAATTTATATAACACTGAACTTTTGTTTTTGTATGATGGTACTGAAACATTTCAATAATCTAGGACAAAAGTTATGTTTTCTCAGGATTTGTTCCAAATGACATGGGTTTTGAGTTGCCCCATATTTCAGAATATGTTGAACTTACGTATACAATTCGATTTTGGCAATCTTTCAAAAAAAATTTTTAAATGTATTTTTCATAAGATTTGGTATTTCCTATTTTACATAATATATGGTCGAAACCTAGAAAAACTGTTTTCATATTCAAAGGATGAAGCTATATTTTTTTGTCTTTTATTATGTAACGATATTATTTGATTAGTTTCTATTTCATCTTCGACTTTGTTCCGGGTTGACATTTATGTATCTAACACGTCATTTTCAAATATGTTAATGATTTGTGAATTCTTTTGTCTCCTTTGCTTTTACCATTCACAATATATTGAATAGGTACATTCATTTGTACAATATTATGCTGTCATGGATTTGTTTTTTTTGCATGCAAAATCCTCCCAAATACATGCTGGCAGGGCCAAGACAGATCATACTTTCAAAACATTAAATATTTAGTCGTAATTCACCTAATTCATTTCTATTTTTTATTATACCATTTGTGAAATTCCCTCACCACAAGTCAGTGCATCCGAAACAAATGACTGGTTTACCAATTCTTTACTCGACATGAACTGATAATGAGAAGCCGTGTTACGTCATATGGTTAAGCCTTCTTTCCTCTACCTCAGGATAAACATGAAAATCCCATTCTAATTATAAATATTATGCATATTCCTTTTAACTAAGATAATAAAAATTTGAATATTGGATAAAATTAATTTTCATCTAAAACTTTATTGGTTCGTTACAATTTGTTTTTTAACTCTACCATATTAAATTTTTTACTATTATTAAACACGCAAGTTGTTTCGTGAAAAAAACACACTCAGAGTTGTATGAGAGTTCATTTAAAATTTGCTGTTTTTATAATATTTCATAGAACACAAATATTTCACATTTAACCATTATATCCACATGCCTGCATGTAAATCGGGGCCTAGTTTTGGTCCCCAAATTTCTTTTTTTTCATATAACCCCCAATAAGACGAGGCAAAAAAATTGTCTCTCTGTTGGCCAGTTAAGCATCGATATGCGCTCATAATTTTATATGGTTGGAACCAGGTCTGTTATGTTTCGGTAGAATCATACTGACAGAATTATTTTTAAATAACAATGCGGCAATTTTTCGTTAAAAAGGAAGCAGCGATCAATTTGAACAACCTATTAACTGGGATGTTGGAATAACTTGTGAATATGGTGTGATAAGGAAGTCAATTAAATAACACTCGCCGTGATTGGCATACCCCTTGGCGTCGTTGTCAATTACTTTATAAATTATATCAACCCAGATATAAAGTTCACAATCATCATGCTTGAGAAGACTTTATGCGGAAAAAACGCTGACTTTAGATAAAATGAATTTGACCCCCCCGACCAAATCAGGCCAAAAAATTGGGTACTTCGCATAGTGTGTGTACCAGGCCATAATTTTATTCCGATTTTCTTTATTTGGGGCCCATAGGCATTCGTCCCTTTACACAGCTGGATGTAAATTACATCATGTGACGTAGGCGAACAAAATTAGTTACTCCCATATTGGTACATACACTTCTGGAGCGCCAAAAATTATGTTCAGAAAAGCGACTTAATAGCTGGAAAATACAGTATTTGAAAATCCCCCTCTTGTTAAATTATTATCAAGTATTCTTGTTTTTACAGTGTGATAGTCCTTATCAAGGAGGAGTATTTTTCCTGACAATTCATTTTCCTACCGACTATCCTTTCAAACCTCCCAAAGTAAGTTATATTTCATGCATATAAATAATATATATATATTATCATTCCGGCAATATTATTAAAGGAGTATTTGAATTCCATTATGGTGGCAAATTTTACCTACAGATTAGTCAGTCCATTTATTGGTAAAATCTGCATTTATTGCGTAAATCTGTATTTATTAAGATAAATTCACTCGGAGATCAATCTCCTTTATTTCTGAGTGAGTACACATGAACTTGCTCTAATCTGATTTTTTTTAAATATTTATATTCATCCATGTATGTATACGAATACATTTGTTTGGATAACTTTTGTTTGTTGTCCATCACATTTGTTTTACTTTCTTTCAGATTGCTTTTACAACTCGTATCTATCATCCAAATATCAATAGTAATGGCAGCATATGTTTAGATATATTAAGATCGCAGTGGTCGCCTGCACTAACCATTTCTAAAGGTATGCAAATGAATGGATCTTTTTATGTTCATCTTTTTAATGGACGACACTATGGCTCTTCAAACTGGGGGGTCGTGAAAGAGCTAAATGGGGGTCTTGGACTCCCGGTACTAATTACTGTCAGAACTAGTCATACTTACGATACTCTTCTTCCTTTTGGGTCCACTTATCTGTGTGAAAAATTAATTTCAACACTATGTTCCTTTCAAAAATAGTTGAATATCATCTGATATCACTGGCTTGTATAAGGCCTTGTTCAGAGTGAACAGTGTGGATATGTGTCATTTATAAATATCCATTGTGTAACTCCATATTCAAATATAAAAATCCACTAAAGCTGTTGTATGTGATCGCCGTAGGCCGAAGAAATTTTCACAGCTTCAAAACCATCGACATGGTTACTTGCCAGAGTCAACAGTAAATGCCTGTTTCACGTGTTTATTATTAAGCATTATTCTCTTATATTACAGTACTCTTATCGATATGCTCACTACTAACGGATCCGAATCCAGACGATCCCCTCGTACCAGATATCGCTAGAATATTCAAGACTGATAGAGCTAGGTATTGCAACACAGCAAGAGAATGGACTACAAAGTATGCCTCCTAACTAGCCACCACCTTAATGACCAGCGATGTAGAAACTTTTATGCTTGGCTTATGTATGAGTGATGATAATAGTTTTGTGTAACTTTAAAACATGATGTTCGCGTTGTTTGACCGTGACTATGCCTCAAAGTAAGTAATTTCTAATCGCCTGTACGGAATTTATGACAGCCAATTTTGACAGCCAAGCTTTAAAACACAGCTAGTTCCTTTTGAAAATAATGCTTCATTCAAATAAGGAAATTTTGAAATTTCCATAATTCATTCTTTGCACCTGTGAAGTTTTTTTTCAAACAATTCTGCTATCAATTATTTAAGCTTGATTCCAATTTGAGACTAGTCCAAGTGTAATATATATACCATTGTCTAAATTAATTTTGTAGTTTTGTCAATTTTTCGTTTTTTATGAATTATTTGAAAAACTATTTACCATCTCAGCATTTTGTCTCAATATTTTGACGTAATTTGCAAGGCTCTTGGAAAATTACTTCGAAAATGATTCATTTTGAAATTTAGCAGAGTTGCTGTCGTACAACCTCAATAATTTTCAGCAAAATTGAATTTGATTAAAATGAGGGATGTCAGGAGAATTAATTTTGGTGTTGATAAATTTGTATCTATTTTACAGTAAATTCGTGCTGCATGCTAAATTTTTTGAGAAACAAGATTTTATTCCAAAAATTTTAAACTTCACAGAAAATCTTGTTTGGGTTTAAGTGCTTTGTAGATGCTTTTTTTTAGATTCCGTCAATTGTGCATATTATGTAAATTAAATCCTGTGGACAATAGAAAAGATGCGAAATTTATCTTTACATGTGTCGAGCTGTCATGAATATCTATCAGATGACGAAAATAGTTTGAATTGATATAGACTTATTCTGTGCTTGGATAATTTAATAATCCTCTATACCATTCTCCAACTCTTTCATTGTAATGTTCTATCTGCATCAGTATCAAACAACCATTTTGACATTAGGTGGGCGTTTTATCATCCCCTCTTGGTGTTATCAGGCACCACATGATTCCCTAAAATTTTTGAAGAAATTATGTCCTTAGTAAGCTTCTGATATGCCCTTTTGATTCCATGTTCCATTTGGTGTGATATTGTATTTTGTATTGTATATCTTTTTCTGTTGGAACGCTTGAACTTTTTTTTAAAAATTTGGCAGAATTTTTGTGCTACAAATCCTATGTATTTAAAGCTGAAATGACATGTTCTCTTATTGATGTACGTTAGTACTGTATTTTACGGAACATAAGGTGCAACAGGTAAAGCGCTACTACCTGATCCATACTTTAGGTGCACTGGCTTATATGGCGCATGAACGATATATTCATCGAAAGGTATTTAAAGCGCACCTTATTGTCTGTAAAATACGGTAATAGCTTTGTTGAAGGGGAGTATAAAAGATTTTGACTTGTGTCGGGAAATTAAAAATATATTAAAAGAATTTTCAGCTGATTTTTAATTGATGTTCAATTTATATTAACAATTCCCCTACTATAGTTCTTTGAAGTTCAATTTTTCCGAGTATTAAATTTTTAGTTCAAGAATATGTAATGGGGATAAAGAAAATTTCATATTCAAAATTGATGTAGTAATTCAATTTGAAATTGTTGTTGTTGATAGTACGCTGTATCATATACAGCGCTTTGATAGCGTTTATTCATTATTTCACTATCCTCTCCATATATGGTCATACGAAATCTGATTAAAATATTTTTCTTCCAACTGTTATTCGTTGTAATGAAGTGTTTTGTTGTTACATTTTGTACATATGTTGCAGCTAAAATTGGATTAGAATTGCACATGTTTTAATAATAATATTGGACCTTTCTGATTGATTAAAAAAAAAAGTTTTTTACAGTATTGAATGAGACATAATTTTCATGACTGATTGCTTTACTGGTTTAACGACAGTTCTTCATTACCTATTTGTTGGTCAACAGAAATGAAAATTATTCCTAGCTGTAAAAATTCATGCTTTCTATGTCATATTTCAATTATTAATACATCTTCATGTGTTTGGTTGTACAATAAATATTTCTTGTTAGTAGTGTTGAATTGTTTCTGCCTTCATAAGCTCCTTCTTTTCTAAACAGATAAATAATATTAATCTACCAAATCTATCAGTTTTAACATCTGATCTCTGCCTGAAAATTTGCAATTCAGAAACCTCAAACTTTTTTATTCTGTAAAGAAATATATGCAAGATGGCTTTAAAAAGAATCAAAAAGGTTAGTGACAATTTATATGTAATTCATAAGTTAGTGCATGTGAACATGGACTAACATCTGGTGTTCTACTGAGCCCTTCCTTTTGTAACAAATTACATCATTCACCGATTGATAGCTAAATGAAGTTCATAAAGTCCCTTTTTGAATTTAGTAAATCCCATGTACCTTACCATGTTTGGGCACATAATGATTTATTAACTGGATTTTTAAAAAATTGAATAAACACTAATTAAAATAAAACAAACCTGGCTTCGATATTCTGAGTACTGACTTCGTAACAAAAATTTTGATTGTAACAAAAAGTTATGAATTAACCTATATGTCCATCCTCAGTGAAATGATTGCTTTCCTCATTTGTCACAGTGCACTGTGCAAAGATGGAATTGTTATTTGTTACCCTGAAATATATGATGAAGTAGCTAGCTTTATTATGTGAATCTCAAAATGAATGGGATTATGAAAACAAGTGTAAGAGACTAATATCCTGTTCTCTCACGGTTGATTTTGAAACATGCATTTCTGACACGAGATCAAGCATACTAAGTCACTGAAATATTAATAGGAGGGAAGACTGCTTACACTAAATGTAAAAGGCTCTGATCTATCTCATTTTGCTTAAAAGAAAATTATATACTTATAGGAATTGCAGGATTTGAACAAAGATCCTCCATCACAGTGCAGCGCAGGACCAGTGGCTGATGATTGTAAGTATATCACTTTGGAATGCGGGCTTTGCCATGCTATAATGGAAATTGCTTTAATATAGTGACGAGGTGAAAAAATGGAATAATTCTACTTCAATGTTTTTAAATGTGATAAGTTTAAACGTCCCAACTTCAGCACTGGAGCTTCATTTTTCTTTGTCTTTGGGCTCCGACTGCTTAGCGATGATGCCAGGCTGAGGGTTCCGAATTTCGGAATTGAACTTACTATTATACGCATTGCCGTATATATGTCGAAAGTAATAGAATTTATTATTTTTAGTATTAGAGAATTATGAATGTGAGAAAAGGTATGTTGAATTTTGAAATTCTATTATTATTTTGCAGTATTTCGTTGGCAAGCCACAATTCTTGGCCCGGTAAGTCCTTTTAGTACTATAATGGAAATTATTTCGGTCAAATTTTTTAAAAAAAAGTTTCGATGTGTGGAAGTGTATTGTTTATTTGCAATTTTAATTGTTTGATTCATCTTGCATATATTAATGATGTACTTTCACACACTCACAAAGCATAAAGATTATTTGACACAAGCCCTAAAGGCTAAAGTTATATAAAAACAAAACCCATAATAAATTTCTCCTGGCCTCTTGTTTATGTTTGATTTTACCGAAAAGTTTCAGTAATCTAAGACGCTCCGCACAAGAGTTATGTTCTCTCTCGATGTTGGAGACATACTTGCTTCCATTGTGCAAAAGTGTTTATCAATCACGTTCTTCTCTGGTAATTTTACCAAATTATGCTTTAATTGTATTCTTGAGTTCAGTGATTGTTCGGTGTTCAGTGAAATTCGATGAACAAGGTGCCCACTCGACGCCATACTTCTTGCTCATCTGCTTTTCCTGATGTTACTTTCTCAACCAGTCAAGGGTTTGATTTGATATGTGGAGGGTCTCTATCAAACCCCCAACACTGCCCCATAATGTTCTGTATTCACTTAGGAGTCCCTTCATTATCGTCTTCAAACCAGGACGGACCAATTATGCCATAATACTGCTACCCATGCCATGTCATGCATTTTACTGATTGTAACGGTCTCTGTAAGACTTTCTGCCGAGGTGCTGTGCCCCAGACACAAAAGTATGAAAAAAAAATACTGGTATATATCTATTTGGTTTGAATTAAATTGTTTGCCATGTGAATAAATGTATTACCTTCTTCTTGATCTCAACAATTTTGACTAGATGTTGCTTGGTGTAGAAATTGCAGATGGGGAAACAACTTCCTTGGTTGAGCATTGTCATGACTCGCTGATACTAATGTCTGCTATATATGTTTTTTCACAGCCAGACAGTCCCTATTGTGGAGGAGTATTTTTTCTAGACATAAATTTTCCTACAGATTATCCGTTTAAACCACCTAAGGTAAGAAGTTAGTTGGTTGAGTCAAATTTAATTTGTGCGTTATTTGTAGACTTTTTCCACCTAGGTCATTGAATGAGTCACGACTTTTGTCAATACACTCACCTTGACTAAATATAAGAATAATTTGATTTGAGTAGGTTGAGTTTTCTAATTATTCACAAATGAATCAAGGGCAGAATTAAGAATTTGTGAAAATGGAAATCAAATGTGGCTCATTTTGAGACTTAACAAAGTAATGCATTTGAATCTTGTAGCTTTTCTGTGTGCAAATATCCTATTGGAAATGTCTGTATTTGCTAAATTTAAAGAGACATTTTTGGGACCTCCTGAAGTATGTGCACCAAGATGGCGCACAACCTGAACTAAGATTGTGTACCAGGTCAGGGTTCAGGTTATGCGACATCTTGGTGCGCATACTTCAGGAGTTCCCACTTTTGTGTGTTGTAATTTTTCAGATACTTCATCGTTTTGGAATTATTTAGCTGAATTTTTAGTTAGTTTTACTTGAGTTTTGATTCTTTCCTTGTTGAAACTGTTCTCTATTCATTCATAATTAAAACTTTTATTTTTCAGATCCAATTTACTACTCGCATATATCACCCAAATATTAATAGTAATGGCAGCATATGTTTAGATATATTAAGATCTCAATGGTCACCCGCATTAACTATATCTAAAGGTTTGTTTATATTGGTATGATTTTATAAACTTCTGTTATACTTGTGTGGAGGCAATGAATATGAGATGGGGCTCTCCTAAAGCATGCGTACCAAGACGGCGGACACTGGAACGTAGTATGTGTACCAGGTTAGGTTAAGCCATTATTTTAGTACAAATACTACGGGCGTCACTTGGCTAGTCCTCGAACTCGTAATATAACTAAGATAGGGAAAATTGGAAAAAAATTATGGCCTATCTCTAACCTGGTACACATACTACGTTTTAAAGTATCTGCTACATATCTTTTGCCTACCCGTATCTGGTTTGCTGTTTTACATTTACACAATTACATTAACTAACTATAAGTTCATCTAGATATCTTTGCTAATGTGTGAAAATTAAATTTATTGCTAGTTCGTGCAGGCTTGTAACATAGCTCAAATCTGTGATAATCTAAATTAAAACAGACTTATTATTTTAAATCTCTAAACCAAATTGCTTCCAAGAAAAAAGTACTACAAGTGTTAAATAATTTTATAATGGTAAATAAATGTATAATTAATAATATTGTTAGAATCAGCAGTCAATTTAAAAATCAAATATGAGTTTTCATGCTTTTTAAAGTTTATGGGATTCAATTGCATGCTGCATTATTGAATTCATTCTTCAATTTGTACAAGTACAGAGTTAGGATATACAGGGATGACCAAAATTTCACTCTTTCGGATACATTCTAAATTGGGGGCAAGTTCATGTTGAAAATTCCATAAATCATTATATCTTCACCTCACATCTAAAACGATAAAATATAAAACAACAAAAAGTCATTGATTTCTCGTTGTTGTTTTTCTTGCTGGTTGAGATATGGTACATTTCAATTTGCTTGTCTATTGTCTCAAATTAATAAAAATGTTCTAATTATGGCTTGCTATGTTCAGGTGTCTTCCATCTTGGTTCACATACTACGGGAGCCCCAATTTTTCAGTAAAAATGTTCTAAAGTATTCCTGAATTCAAAATTTGCTATATCGAATATGATTTGTTTCGATTATTCCCTTCATTTTGGACATCCGTGACAGTATATATCTCCCCTTACTTCTAGAAAAGTGCAGTGTAATTGTTTTGAACCCTTCAAACTATCCGTTTTTCAGTTTTGTTATCAATATGTTCCCTGCTTTGTGATCCGAATCCAGATGACCCTCTAGTTCCGGAGATTGCAAGAATATACAAGACAGACAGAAGCGCTTATAACGAGACTGCAAAGAATTGGACCAGAAAACATGCCTTGTAGTCACCATCATGACGCTCAATCATACCACAATCTACTTTTTGTTTTCTTTATCGATATAAACTATAATTTGTCCTCATAGCTGCTACGAAATTTGCAACTTTTCGATATCTTTGTTTTTTCCAAATGTTCCCACCACATATGAGCACGTATTTACTGCTCACCAATTAACGTTTTTTTTGGGGACCCAATGATTATTTCGTTCCTTCACTATTATTTGCGAGTGTGATGAAAAGAAATGTTTGCAAAATGTTTCTGCACTTGAAGTTTTAAACAGCTGCGATTCGGAATGTGTTGAACTTTCTACTGTTTTCTGATATATTGTTCTACGCTTAACCCGAAATTTAGAATCTGAGGCACGGCCTTTACTTATACATATGATACTATTATTTCACGTGAGACTTGAATAAATGCCTGGCAATGCTCTTCAAATGCAAGTGATTGTAATTGGCTTAGAATTGGGTAAATTGAAGCGTGGTATATTTTAAATATTCGTACTTGGAAATCGGGGCCTAGAACTTTAATTTGTTCCAGTCAAAATTTCCGCCAATGTGGACTATGCATACTGAACAGAAAATTGAAGACGTCCAGCTTTCGTGTTCGGAATTATGTATTCTCGGAACTGAATCCCGAGTGCATATTTTTTTGAACCGTTGGAATCTGGAGTAAATTTCCAAATACATAGTAGTGCTTTGTGATGGCGTCGAGTCGGCAAAAAACTCAATTTACTGGGTTTATAGCCTGCCGGAACTACGGATTACGCTGGAGGATATGATGATGCTTGGTGAGCACTTCTGCCTTTGGTCACCTCGGCCTGGTAGTCCAATGAGCATATTGAGTAGTCGAGCGAGAGGTTGTGATTTGATAAGAGTTGGTAAATTTGGGTCCTCTGAAGCTTTGGATTTAAAGGTGTGTAAGGTTGTATGTATAAGATTCTTTGCCGAAAGGGCGTTTAAGTTTAGATTTGAAAGTACCTTAGTGTGGCATAGAATACTTACTAGTCACTGAGGTGTTGTAATGGCAAATTATTATTGCTGCATTAGCTGTTTGTTCCGTCTCTCGTGGGGTTTCACTATGGGCTTTTTGACGCCGCAGGGTGGTTCACGTAACCGCAAGTCGGTTACAGCCTCCCTGCCATCAAGTCCATGCATCTGAATACAAACAAAAAATAATTGGGTAACTAATCCCATACCCGACATTGACTGATAACCAGATGAGAGGCCGTGATTTGCCATATGATCAAACCGTTTATAGGCTTTTCTCTTCCCAGGATAAATATGTGAATGCTATCCAATAACTGATATCGATGCAATTGATAGCTGCTATAAGAGCGGGTTTCTCGAATTAGTACAAATGTTACAATTTGTACGTATGTATGTTTATTTGCCTCAAAAATGTTACAGTATCTGCATAATAACTAAGCGGTATAACAGAGACGGGATACATGTTCATGACCTTACTGGCCTAAGACACAGATGTGCGACATGCACCCCAACAAGTATATATAACTGCAGTTTAGGACTGCTACGTTATAGTAGGACAACAGACATGAAATATACAAATAAAACTCTTGAACAATACACAGGACAAAAAGGTACGGTACAACGACGATATGTACAATAGTCAAGTGAATGGCACGTTCATGTCCCAGGTTCTGGCGTGAAGGGATGGGAATAGGGCAGCGTTTCCCAAACTGTGTTCCGCGGACACTAGTGTTCCGCGAGCGTTTTTTGAGTGTTCCGTGGAAAAAGAATCAAAAACACGTCTAAATTGGTCGCCATGGAAATCTAGGGATCGTGAAGTTGTCGCCCAACATCGCGCCACCGTCGGCCTAAAGCGGAATAACTAGGGTAGGGGCAATTTCCTTAAACATCGGCCTAGCTTTTTGACTGTTAAGTTCATTATTAAGTTTACAGCAATCCTTTTGGTTTTGCTATGGGCAAACAAGTAGGTCTAAAGAATAAAGATTAAAGGTCAACTCTTTTCCCTCCATCTCTGCCCGGTTTTACTTTGAAATGCTGAAAAAATTACTCATGTTCGCTAAACTCGATACAGCAGATACATAAACTGCAGGTCTGCAGTTCGCGAAATTGCAGCAAGTACTTCTATCTCAATTAGACGTAACATTACAGGCAAACACTACGTAATGGAAAGTAACGACATAGAAAGGTAAAATGAATTTATTGACACATGCACAGCATTTAAATTTAGAAACAATAAAACATTTATAATAAATGCAATATGTAGAATATTCAATCATATTTTAGGTAAGTTCAACACAATTCTGTTAGTTTTTGCGGCGCATTTGTCAACTCGCCACGACGCACGCATCGTCATTAACAGTACGTGGGGTTGGAATTCGCCTGTATAAAAGTTGCGTCATATAACCTGAATATTATTCTGTGAACTTTTTGCAGAACCTTGCTTATTTCAAATATTTTATTCATCAGAAGGATACCAGTAGTGCGGAATAATTGAAAATGAGTTCTTACACGTACAAGTTATATTATTTCAATTCCCGTGGAAGGGCAGAAATGATCAGGTGGATATTTGCCGCAGCTGACGTGAAATACGAAGATATTCGGCTTGACAAAGAACAATGGGCCAAGAAAAAATCAGGTTTGTAAATCGTTGTTTTCGAATGCAATTTCTCCTCCATATTTTGCAGTTTAAAATTTTCCCGGGCAACCACTTTATTTTCTAACAGAAATGCCTTTCGGACAAATGCCGGTATTGGAAGTAATTGACGGTAACGGTACGGGCACCCTTATAGCAGAAAGCCGCGCAATCGAACGGTGTTTGATCAAACAATTCAACTTGGATGGAGAAACAGATCTAGATTGTGCGAAGATTGACTCTATTCAGGAATATATGAGTGATTTGTTCCGTAAAATGCCTTTCTTCGAATCCGACCTCCAAAAGAAGGTTGTTGGTATAGCAATATGTTAAATTTGAGACGGTATCCGGTGGCTCCTGCTGTACGCTCTTAATTTGAAAAATAGTTTATAAATTCTCTGATAGTATTAACGCATAGTCTGGGTTAATAATTAATAACGTCATAGTCTCTGCATTGAATACGAACGGTGACTTGAACTTTAAACACCCCACAAGCAGTTGCACAATTTTTTGCTAGTTCTTGAATTTAGTATTATATAAAAATATATAGTCATAAATATTGAAAAAAGGTCTGTTCTATAGCAAATTATTCTTCATCTGAAATTATCACTCAATCTTAATTAGGAGAAGCTGATGAAAGAGGCATTTGAAGGACCCGTAGCAAAAGCCTATGAAATAGTGGAGTCTCAAGTCGGGAGTAGCAAATATTTTCTGGGAGAAAAGGTGAGATATCCCTTATGAGAGATGATACATTTAATAGCATTATCGACATAGGTCATTGGGAATGGTACCGAAGGGCGAAGGCCGTAGGTAATACAATAAGGTGTTTGAGCGCTTGTTGATTATGCAATTACTTGATTTAATTTATTTTCAGCTGACTTGGTTTGACCTAGCCATCACTGCAGGATCGGATGTTCTTCTCATGTTCAATCCAAATCTATTTGAGAAATATCCGAAACTGAAGAAGCTTCATTCAACTGTTCGATGTCATCCTAACATGAGTGCATGGATAGCTAAACGTCCCCAAACGCCTTATTAATTCACAAATTTCCATTAAAACCTTCGTAATTTAGGGAATTGAATTTTTCAACGAGTCAAGGTTATTTCTTTTGCAATTACATACCTTATATTTCATCATTCCATACCTTTACACCAATTGAAGCGATTACAACCCTACATATATCAAATACTCTTGCTGTATCATTTTTGCAAAAATTAAAATTAAATGGCAATCAAAACACAAATATTTTTGTATGCTTACTACCTTAATTTCTGTCGATGTTAGTATTCTTTTCATCAATGATTCAAGAAGTCATATTTTCTAAATAAAAGGCATGTTTTCCTAAAATTGGAAGTATGGTATCGGTAGGCTATCTGTAGTTTTATTTTGGAGATACGTGCTGATGAAGTAAAGCGGACTTTGCGACTATTTATTTACCTTGCTGTCATAAAACAGTGCCGATTCAAATGTATCTTCGTTTCACGTGAGATACGTACTTAGTTTTGCTATTAGCCCAAGTTTCTTGGTCGAGTAAATATATGCAGATCTACTTATGATAACCTCTCTTTTGAAATTATGCCTACGACCTTACTTAATATGAGATTACTCTGTCGATTGCACCATTCGTATTGCCTACAATACCAATAAAACATCATTGCGCCATGTTTGTTAATCTCGGATTAAAACTGCCCTCGAGCTATTTGCTTCGTCATTCGGCGGAATGGCGCGAAAGATATTGTGTTTAAAATAAGACAGAATCGAAGATACGCTTGAGCAAACAAACAAGAGAAGAAATGCTAAGTTATGTATAAATTGATTGTCCAGTTTCCCAGCAAAACTCGCCGCGAGCCCGCGATAGTTTGTTTGCGTTTTGTTGCGACTGCATGGTGTAGGTTGTTTGATTTCGATTTCCCTCAATCAATCGCACTTTAGATATTCAGTTTTAGCGAAGGTTTGCTGTCGACATTCTATTTTTTAAGTTATCAGTTACGCACTCACTATGCTGGTAAGTACGCGACGGCCGGAAGCGCTATTCAATCAATCCGGCATCACCACGGTCAGACGGGTGTTTTCCACCGTGAATTTGTATATTATATAAAAATTCGATTTGTTATTCAGAGACTGTTAGTATTTGCTTAGACTGTTAGACTTGTTAAAATGCCGTCGTATAAACTTTTTTACTTCAATGTGCGTGGAAGAGCTGAAATATCAAGGTGGATGTTTGCTCAAGCAGGCGTCAAATATGAAGATATTAGAATAGGAAGCGAAACCTGGCCTTTTCTAATTATTCTCAAATGAATCAAGGGTAGAATTAAGAATTTGTGAAAATGGAAATCAAATGTGGCTCATTTTGAGACTTAACAAAGTAATGCATTTGAATCTTGTAGCTTTTCTGTGTGCAAATATCCTATTGGAAATGTCCGTATTTGCTAAATTCAAAGAGACATTTTTGGGACCTCCTGAAGTATGTGCACCAAGATGGCGCACAACCTGAACTAAGATTGTGTACCAGGTTAGGGTTCAGGTTATGCGACATCTTGGTGTGCATACTTCAGGAGTACCCACTTTTGTGTGTTGTAATTTTTCAGATATCGTTTTAGAATTATTTAGCTGAATTTTTAATTAGTTTTACTTGAGTTTTGATTCTTTTCTTGTTGAAACTGTTTCTCGATTTATTCATAATTAAAACTTTTATTTTTCAGATCCAATTTACTACTCGCATATATCACCCAAATATTAATAGTAATGGCAGCATATGTTTAGATATATTAAGATCTCAATGGTCACCCGCATTAACTATATCTAAAGGTTTGTTTATATTGGTATGATTTTATAAACTTCTGTTATACTTGTGTGGGGGCAATGAATATGAGATGGGGCGCTCCTGAAGTATGCGTACCAAGATGGCGGACACTGGAACATAGTATGTGTACCAGGTTAGGTTAAGCCATTATTTTAGGTACAAATACTACGGGAGTCACTTGGCTAGTCCTCGAACTCTTAATAGAACTGAAATAGGAAAAATTGGAATAAAATTATGGCCTATCTCCAACCTACACATACTACGTTTTAAAGTATCTGCTACATATCTTTTGACTGCTGGTATCTTGTTTTCTGTTATTACATTTACACAATTACATTAACTAACTATAAGTTCATCTAGATATCTTTGCTAATGTGTAAAAATTGAATTTATTGCTAGTTCGTGCAGACTTGTAACATAGCTCAAGTCTGTGATAATCTAAATTAAAACAGACTTATTATTTTAAATCTCTAAACCAAATTGCTTCCAAGAAAAAAGTACTACAAGTGTTAAATAATTTTATTATGGTAAATAAATGTATAATTGATAATATTGTTGGAATCAGCAGTCAATTTAAAAGTCAAATATGAGTTTTCATGCTTTTTGAAGTTTATTGGATTCAATTGCATGCTGAAACTTATTGAATTCATTCTTCAATTTGTACAAGTACAGAGTTGGGATATATATACAGGGATGACCAAAATCGAAAATTTTACTCTTTCGGATACATTCTAAATTGGGGGCAAGTTCATGATGAAAACTAGATAAATCATTATAACTTCATCTCACATCTAAAACGATAAAATATAAAACAACAAAAAGTCATTGATTTCTCGTTGTTGTTTTTCTTGCTGGTTGAGATATGGTACATTTCAATTTGCTTGTCTATTGTCTCAAATTAATAAAAATGTTCTAATTATGGCTTGCTATGTTCAGGTGTCTTCCATCTTGGTTCACATACTACGGGAGCCCCAATTTTTCAGTAAAAATGTTCTAAAGTATTCCTGAATTCAAAATTTGCTATATCGAATATGATTTGTTTCGATTATTCCCTTCATTTTGGACATCCGTGACAGTATATATCTCCCCTTACTTCTAGAAAAGTGCAGTGTAATTGTTTTGAACCCTTCAAACTATCCGTTTTTCAGTTTTGTTATCAATATGTTCCCTGCTTTGTGATCCGAATCCAGATGACCCTCTAGTTCCGGAGATTGCAAGAATATACAAGACAGACAGAAGCGCTTATAACGAGACTGCAAAGAATTGGACCAGAAAACATGCCTTGTAGTCACCATCATGACGCTCAATCATACCACAATCTACTTTTTGTTTTCTTTATCGATATAAACTATAATTTGTCCTCATAGCTGCTACGAAATTTGCAACTTTTCGATATCTTTGTTTTTTCCAAATGTTCCCACCACATATGAGCACGTATTTACTGCTCACCAATTAACGTTTTTTTTGGGGACCCAATGATTATTTCGTTCCTTCACTATTATTTGCGAGTGTGATGAAAAGAAATGTTTGCAAAATGTTTCTGCACTTGAAGTTTCAAACAGCTGCGATTCGGAATGTGTTGAACTTTCTAGTGTTTTCTGATATATTGTTCTACGCTTAACCCGAAATTTAGAATCTGAGGCACGGCCTTTACTTATACATATGATACTATTATTTCACGTGAGACTTGAATAAATGCCTGGCAATGCTCTTCAAATGCAAGTGATTGTAATTGGCTTAGAATTGGGTAAATTGAAGCGTGGTATATTTTAAATATTCGTACTTGGAAATCGGGGCCTAGAACTTTAATTTGTTCCAGTCAAAATTTCCGCGAATGTGGACTATGCATACTGAACAGAAAATTGAAGACGTCCAGCTTTCGTTATCAGAATTATGTATTCTCGGAACTTAATCCCGAGTGCATATTTTTTTGAACCGTTGGAATCTGGAGTAAATTTCCAAATACATTGTAGTGCTTTGTGATGGCGTCGATTTACTGGGTTTATAGCCTGCCGGAACTACGGATCACACTGGAGGATATGATGATGCTTGGTGAGCACTTCTGCCTTTGGTCACCTCGGCCTGGTAGTCCAATGAGCATATTGAGTAGTCGATCGAGAGGTTGTGATTTGATAAGAGTTGGTAAATTTGGGTCCTCCGAAGCTTTGGATTTAAAGGTGTGTAAGGTTGTATGTAGAAGATTCTTTGCCGAAAGGGCGTTTAAGTTTAGTTTTGAAAGTACCTTAGTGTGGCATAGAATACTTACTAGTCACTGAGGTGTTGTAATGGCAAATTATTATTGCTGCATTAGCTGTTTGTTCCGTCTCTCGTGGGGTTTCACTATGGGCTTTTTGACGCCGCAGGGTGGTTCACGTAACCGCAAGTCGGTTACAGCCTCCCTGCCATCAAGTCCATGCATCTGAATACAAACAAAAAATAATTGGGTAACTTATCCCATACCCGACATTGACTGATAACCAGATGAGAGGCCGTGATTTGCCATATGATCAAACCGTTTTTAGGCTTTTCTCTTCCCAGGATAAATATGTGAATGCTATCCAATAACTGATGTCGATGCTATTGATAGCTGCTATAAGAGCGGGTTTCTCGAATTAGTGCAAATGTTACAATTTGTACGTATGTATGTTTATTTGCCTCAAAAATGTTACAGTATCTGCATAATAACTAAGCGGTATAACAGAGACGGGATACATGTTCATGACCTTACTGGCCTAAGACACAGATGTGCGACATGCACCCCAACAAGTATATATAACTGCAGTTTAGGACTGCTACGTTATAGCAGGACAACACACATGAAATATACAAATAAAACTCTTGAACAATACACAGGACAAAAAGGTACGGTACAACGACGATAAGTACAATAGTCAAGTGAATGGCACGTTCATGTCCCAGGTTCTGGCGTGAAGGGATGGGAATAGGGCAGCGTTTCCCAAACTGTGTTCCGCGGAACACTAGTGTTCCGCGAGCGCTTTTTGAGTGTTCCGTGGAAAAAGAATCAAAAACACGTCTAAATTGGTCGCCATGGAAATCTAGGGATCGTGAAGTTGTCGCCCAACATCGCGTCACCGTCGGCCTAAAGCGGAATAACTAGGGTAGGGGCAATTTCCTTGAACATCGGCCTAGCTTTTTGACTGTTAAGTTCATTATTAAGTTTACAGCAATCCTTTTGGTTTTGCTATGGGCAAACAAGTAGGTCTAAAGTATAAAGATAAAAGGTCAACTCTTTTTCCTCCATCTCTGCCCGGTTTTACTTTGAAATGCTGAAAAACTTACTCATGTTCGCTAAACTCGATACAGCAGATAAATAAACTGCGGGTCTGCAGTTCGCGAAATTGCAGCAAGTACTTCTATCTCAATTAGACGTAACATTACAGGCAAACACTACGTAATGGAAAGTAACGACATAGAAAGGTAAAATGAATTTATTGACACATGCACAGCATTTAAATTTAGAAACAATAAAACATTTATAATAAATGCAATATGTAGAATATTCAATCATATTTTTGGTAAGTTCAACAGAATCAACACAATTCTGTTAGTTTTTGCGGCGCATTTGTCAACTCGCCACGACAAACCCATTGGATTACACATTACACCATGTTTCTTTATCAATTTCACTCATTCATTTTTTGATGTTCCGCGAAGCGAGATAATGAGTGTAAGTGTTCCATGGCCGAAAAGGTTTGGGAAACGCTGGAATTGGGTATAAATCGCATTTTTGTGTGTTTTTACAATAGATCTCACGAAACAAGTAAAAATTGTTCGAGACATGAACTTGCCAAAAACCAACTTTGGGTAGGGCCACGACACAATAGGATTAGGTTCTAAAAAGATAAACAATAAATGATATATATATATATATGTAGAAATTCTTTGTTTACACTCGAGTTGTTGATCATAAATTGTATGCGACAAAAGAAATGAGAACAATAGGGTCCAGCCAACGACTAACATACCGGGTCCAGCATAAAACTTCTTTAAACGAGTCTATAACCTGAAGGCATCTCGGGTGGCATTTTCAAGGTGGTTTTGTGCTATTTTTCTATTAAATCCCTCGCGCATCTCGACTGACAAATTGTGAGGCAAACACTGTAGGTATTTGCGAACTTTCATGGTTGGCTGCGGTCGTATTGTGGTCATGTGATATTGATCAGTCAGCATCAGAAATAGTAAGGAGGGAAGGTGCTTGTTTTGCCAGAGCTCGTTAAAATTTGACCAGGATTTGGTAGATCTAAGCCTTCGCATCGTCATTAACAGTACGTGGGGTTGGAATTCGCCTGTATCAAAGTTGCGTCATATAACCTGAATATTATTCTGTGAACTTTTTGCAGAACCTTGCTTATTTCAAATATTTTATTCATCAGAAGGATACCAGTAGTGCAGAATAATTGAAAATGAGTTCTTACACGTACAAGTTATATTATTTCAATTCCCGTGGAAGGGCAGAAATGATCAGGTGGATATTTGCCGCAGCTGACGTGAAATACGAAGATATTCGGCTTGACAAAGAACAATGGGCCAAGAAAAAATCAGGTTTGTAAATGTTGTTTTCGAATGCAATTTCTCCTCCATATTTTGCAGTTTAAAATTTTCTAACAGAAATGCCTTTCGGACAAATGCCGGTATTGGAAGTAATTGACGGTAACGGTACGAGCACCCTTATAGCAGAAAGCCGCGCAATCGAACGGTTTTTGATCAAACAATTCAACTTGGATGGAGAAACAGATCTAGATTGTGCGAAGATTGACTCTATTCAGGAATATATGAGTGATTTGTTCCGTAAAATGCCTTTCTTCGAATCCGACCTCCAAAAGAAGGTTGTTGGTATAGCAATATGTTAAAGTTGAGACCGGTATCGGTGGCTTCCGCTGTACGCTCTTAATTTGAAAAATAGTTTATAAATTCTCTGATAGTATTAACGCATAGTCTGGGGCATATAGTCTGGCATTGAATAAGAACGGTGACTTGAACTTTAAACACTCCACAAGCAGTTAGGCTACACAATTTTTTGCTAGTTCTTGACTTTAGTATTATATAAAAATATATAGTCATAAATATTGAAAAAAAAAGGTCTGTTCTATAGCAAATTATTCTTCATCTGAAATTATCACTCAATCTTAATTAGGAAAAGCTGATGAAAGAGGCATTTGAAGGACCCGTAACAAAAGCCTATGAAATAGTGGAGTCTCAAGTCGGGAGTAGCAAATATTTTCTGGGAGAAAAGGTGAGATATCCCTTATGAGATATGATACATTTAATAGCATTATCGGCATAGGTCATTGGGAATGACACCGAAGGCCGTAGCGCCCGTAGGTAATACAATAAGGTGTTTGAGCGCTTGTTGATTATGCAATTACTTGATTTAATTTATTTTCAGCTGACTTGGTTTGACCTAGCCATCACTGCAGGATCGGATGTTCTTCTCATGTTCAATCCAAATCTATTTGAGAAATATCCGAAACTGAAGAAGCTTCATTCAACTGTTCGATGTCATCCTAACATAAGTGCATGGATAGCTAAACGTCCCCAAACGCCTTATTAATTCACAAATTTCCATTAAAACCTTCGTAATTTAGGGAATTGAATTTTTCAACGGGTCAAGGTTATTTCTTTTGCAATTACATACCTTATATTTCATCATTCCATACCTTTACACCAATTAAAGCGATTACAACCCTACATATATCAAATACTCTTGCTGTATCATTTTTGCAAAAATTAAAATAAAATGGCAATCAAAACCCAAATATTTTTGTATGCTTACTACCTTAATTTCTGTCGATGTTAGTATTCTTTTCATCAATGATTCACGAAATCATATTTCCTAAAAAAAAGGCATGTTTTCCTAAAATTGGAAGTATGATATCGGTAGGCTATCTGTAGTTTTATTTTGGAGATACGTGCTGAAGAAGTAAAGCGGACTTTGCGACTATTTATTTACTTTGCTGTCATAAAACAGTGCCGATTCAAATGTATCTTCGTTTCACGTAAGATACGTACTTAGTTTTGCTATTAGCCCAAGTTTCTTGGTCGAGTAAATATATGCAGATCTACTTATGATAACCTCTCTTTTGAAATTATGCCTACGACCTTACTTAATATGAGATTACTCTGTCGATTGCACCATTCGTATTGCCTACAATACCAATAAAACATCATTGCGCCATGTTTGTTAATCTCGGATTAAAACTGCCCTCGAGCTATTTGCTTCGTCATTCGGCGGAATGGCGCGAAAGATATTGTGTTTAAAATAAGACAGAATCGAAGATACGCTTGAGCAAACAAACAAGAGAAGAAATGCTAAGTTATGTATAAATTGATTCCAGTTTCCCAGCAAAACTTGCGCGATAGTTTGTTTGCGTTTTGTTGCGACTGCATGGTGTAGGTTGTTTGATTTCGATTTCCCTCAATCAATCGCACTTTAGATATTCAGTTTTAGCAAAGGTTTGCTGTCGACATTCCATTTTTAAGTTCGCGACGGCCGGAAGCGCTATTCAATCAATCCGGCATCACCACGGTCAGACGGGTGTTTTCCACCGTGAATTTGTATATTATTTAAAAATTCGATTTGTTATTCAGAGACTGTTAGTATTTGCTTAGACTGTTAGACTTGTTAAAATGCCGTCGTATAAACTTTTTTACTTCAATGTGCGTGGAAGAGCTGAAATATCAAGGTGGATGTTTGCTCAAGCAGGCGTCAAATATGAAGATATTAGAATAGGAAGCGAAACCTGGCCTGAAAAGAAGAAGGGTAAGAGTTTCAGTCAATAATCCCCATTGTGTATCAAAAGTTGCGCATTTGAATTAATAAAATTGGTCCACCAACTTTAAAGTTCGTGGCGGAATTCTACAATTAAGCTAGGCTGCCACATTCTGTTATGGCTGCTACTGCTAGCATTATAGCCATATGAGTTACCGGTATCCAATTCCGCATTTGAATAAGTAAATTGGTCCACCAACTTTAAAGTTCGTGGCGGTTTTCTACAACCAAACTAGGTTGCTACATTCTGTTATGGCTGCTATTGCTAGCTTTATAGCCATATGAGTTATCCCGTTCCGCATTTTAATAAGTAAATTAGTACACCAACGTTAAAGTTCGTGGCGGATTTCTACAACCAAACTAGGTTGCTACATTCTGTTATGGCTGCTATTGCTAGCATTATAGCTCTATAGTTTATCCCGTTGCGCTACTGTAAAAGATAAAAGGTTCCACCATATTTATGTAGAATTAAATAAAATCAGCTAAACTTGAAAATAGCAGACTTGCGTGCGACCGCCAACGCTCTAGGGGTCGCATATAGATTTATTGTGCCGTCCAGGACGCCAATAAGAATTATAGTTCGAGGGTAAACTTAAGTTAATTTTGTAGAAATAAAAAGATATTGACACTTAAGTTGTGCCTACTTCAGAATGTCCATTCGGCCAAATGCCGTTGCTGGAGGTGACAGACGATTCTGGCTCAACCCATGTGATTGCACAGAGCAGCGCCATTCAACGTTTCCTGGCAAGAGAACTTGGAATGAATGGTAAAGACAGTTACGAAGCCGCTGATCTTGATATGGTTGGGGAACAAATGAAAGATATTATGATGGCTCTTCCATGGACAGAAAAAGACGAAGAACGAAAGGTAATCGTTGCCTTTAATAATTTCTAACATGAAATAGCAATTTTGCTTCAAATTGTGTATAATTTTGTTATTTTCGATTAGTGCAATTGCACCTAGCGATGTAATTTTGGTCGGACAACCTTATGAATCCAGTCTTTGAGAAATCAGATGATTTTGTTTATTTCCTATAAAATTTTCGCATAGAAAACATGACTTTAATTATGGAGTAAAACTCGATATATATATATATATGATGATCAAGCTGGAAAATTATGCAGCATCAGATATGTTGATGTTAAATTAATTTCAAACTAGCATTTCTCAATAGCAGTCCAATCGGAATTGAAAAATTTGCAGTTGTATGTTGTCGAAAATTTTAGTGTTGCTGTATGTTTTCAAACCAGTTGATCAAGTTTTCAATGCTAAGTTAAACTTAATTTTATTCGAATTTTAGAAACAACTTACAAAAGAAGCAATCGAGGGTCCGATAGCAAAGTATTTTCTGCAACTGGAGAATCGTGTTCGTGATAACGGATGGTTTGGAAGAAGCGGCGGGGTATTCTGAGCAACTTGATATTATCTTTGGCTAATGTTCTACAAACGATCGCATTTGGGTGAAAGGAGTTGACTTAGTTACACCATGCCTACAGTCCCAATAGGTCAAATTTGGGCACTTCCTGTTGAGTGGCTTCACGAAAAGTCTGTCTCCTATAACTGTGGCACGCCCACGTATCTACTGATGTCGATCAGTAATGCAACCAAGTGTCATTGTAATCTATAATCTACTAATCATCTTTCCTCCTAAGCCGCGGATGGATATTAGGCTAACTCAAACGTTTAATGAATGATAAAAGTCGGGTAAAAAAAGTTAATATGCTTGCTTACTATTGCTTTATTTCTTATATTTTGCAGCCTACTGTGGGAGATATTGGCTTTTCCGTCGGATGTGAGTTCTTACTTCACACAGTACCGACTGCGCTTGACGCCACACCTAAACTGAAAGCTTTGAATGAGAGAGTCCGAAATATGCCAAACATCAAAACCTGGATTGAGAGTCGTCCTGAAACAAAAATCTAAAAAAGTCAGAAGAATAGTCAACAGAAGACAAGCAGCACTTTCTATTTTTTCAAGTTCCTTTGGAAGCGTTTCATCTTGTTTTCGAATGTAATGCATGCTACATAAGTAATAACTAGTTAAAGCAACGTGAGTTCCGTTTACGTTGCTTTCCTCGGCTCAGTGTATTTCATCTTCAGTATATATTCCGATGACAACATAATTCTTGTTTACTTTTGTACTTGGAAAAATAGGCTTAACAGAGTATGGGTCTAATTTTCAGTAAGCCGATATTTATTTGTATTTCTACACAGACTACCTCTGGTATTGAATTTGTAAATATAGCTAATTTACCCTTCTGGTAATTGGTCCACCAACAACCCAGCTAACCATTTCTAATTATAAAAAGTAGTACCAGCGTTCAACATCGCTTCTGCCCAATGGTTGTTATCGTTCCATCTATTGAGATTTTCAAATTAATTTTTAATTCAGAATGTAAGCAGAACTCAGTATTATCACCGAATAGTAGTAAATTGTGCAATTGTTAATCTCCCACCTGACGTTAAAATTTCATTGATTTATGCTTTCAGCTTGTTCTTATTCTGTCGCCTGTAATCAGTGATTTAGTATGCTTTGGCAAATTATTTCTTATTTTCTTGCACGTTTCAGCATGAATTCAACATTCGTATTTCCGTATCCAGCATAACACATACTTTTGAATAAAAAACTTTCATCAAAATTTCCGTTCTCGGAGAAAATTTTGATTTGTTACAGCTTCAAATGTTTGTCCGAAGGCGATTTTGATAATCAGATTATTTATAGTACTATATCTTATAGTGTGGTCGCCAAAGCGCCAAGTGTGGGCTACTGTTTGCGTGCGACTGGATGTAGTTTGAAGGATTTGATCGCATTGAATTGTTTGTATGTGGCATGGTACCTTTTGCTATGCAATACAGGACCATCACTAAATAATATCAGGCTATCCAAATGCCTATAATTCTGCTACTTATATTGCCCAATGCGTTTTAGTGCTATTGCAAGTATTTTATTGAGAAATTCATTTGAAAACAAAACCCTGCCTGGATCACCTAGTTGGGGTCGCTGGGGGTATTCCAAAACGATAGAGTTTGTCGTGAAATACACTCACGAAAAATTCGATCTATCACCACCATTCTGAAATCTTTTCTGTATGGGCTCAAAACCAATGTAATTTTCTATAGCAGCGTTTCCCAACCTGTGTTCCGCATTAGTCTCCATGGCGAACTAAGAATCGTGAAGTTGTCGCTCAACTGACCGTTCAATATCGCGTCACCGTCGTCCTAAAGCAGACTGACTAAGGGTAGTAGCAGTTTCGTTAATCGTCGGCCTAGCTTTTTGACTGTTAAGTTCTTCAAGTTTATAGCGATCATTCTGGTTTCGATGAAGGCAAACAAGTAGGTCTAAAGAATAAAGACAAATGGCCAACTCTTCTTCCGCCATCTCTGCCTGGATTTACTTTGAAATTCTGCAAAAATCACTCATGTTCGCTGAGGTAGATTCAGCAGATAAAAAAACTGCGGGTATGCAGCTCGTTAAATTACAGCAAGTATCTCGCGGCACATTTGGCAACTCGTTTATGCGAACCCATTGGGAACCGTTCAATTACACCGTTTTTCTTTATCACTTTTATCCTTTCATCCTTTTTGGTGTTTCGCGAAGCGAGATAAAAAGCGTAAGTGTTCCATGGCCAAAAAAGTTTGGGAAACGCTGCTCTATAGTATATGATCTTCGCTCTCTCCATTTCTCTATAGCAGGGGTGTCAAACTCGCGGCCCGCGGGCCGCATGCGACCCCAGAGCACCTCCAATGCGACCCTCGAACGCTTAACAATATTTGTAAGTTTTTTTTTCTAAATGTGATACATTTTTAAAAAATTTTAGGGTGAAATTGATTATTCACACATAAAACGACAATTTACTGAAAGTAGTTTTGGAAAATTAAAATTTTTTTATTTTCAATTTGACCCAATTATGGATACACCTCAAGCTAGCAAGAGAATACTTGGAAAAAACACTTCAGGATTAAATGGAACGCAAAGTACATGAAGTAGGTGGTATTTTTGAAGAAAAATGGGAGTTGCAATATTTCTACATTTCTCAAAATTAAAGCACATTGTCTAATTTGTCACATCAGTACAATGAAAGAATACATTATAAGTAGACATTATCAAAATAAGCTCAGCAGTCTATAATACAAATTTAATGATCAACTTCGAACAGAAAATTTCTATGTGAATATATATCATTACAAGAGAGCTATGCTCAAATATATGGACACGTAGCGCCCCCTAAGGGCAATAATTCTGATGACGTCATTGCAGAAAAAAAAGTAATAGCCTTCAGAAGAATTTTTATCTTCAACCACTGAAAATTTCAAAGCAATTGGTCCAGTAATCAGAGAGAAAAGCGACTTTTTAAAAACGTGTCAAAGAACAAGAACAACAACAATATAATATTGAAACGATCGCTATGTCCACTACGTGTCCAATAATTGTACAACTACCCATTTGCTAAAATCAATACCAATCACAAGAGAGATATGCTCAAATATATGGACACGTAGCGCCACCCAATGGCAATAATTTTGATGACGTCATAGCGGAAAAAAAAAGTAATAGCCTTCTGGAGAAAAATTTTATCTTTAACCACTGAAAATTTCAAAGCAATTGGTCCAGTATTCGAAGAGAAAAGCGACTTTTTAAAAACGTGTCAAAGAACAAGAACAACAACAACAAGAGAGCTATGCTCAAATATATGGACACGTAGAGTCACATAATTTTGATGACGTCATAGCGAAAAAAAAAGTAATAGCCTTCTGGAGAAAATTTTTATCTTTAACCACTAAAAATTTCAAAGCAATTGGTCCAGTATTCGAAGAGAAAAGCGACTTTTTAAAAACGTGTCAAAGAACAACAAGAACAAGAACAAGAACAAGAACAAGAACAACAACAACATAATATTGAAACGATCGTTATGTCCACTACGTGTCCAACAACATAACATTGAAACGATCGTTATGTCCACTTCGTGTCCAATAACTCAAGCGGTCCTATGCCCCGTAATGGTTGGGAATGTCGTGAAATGTCTGGTCCGAAAAGTCAGTCCTATGTTTACTGATCTATACATAAAATGATAAAAGTAATATTTTTGTATTACTGCAATTAATCAAACATTCTCAACGATTCAGATTAAGCGATTATCATGTGACCTTGATAATTAGAATTGGTACTGTAAAATCATTTCAGCCTGATATTAGTAAGCTGGTGACACAAAGGAGATGCCGAACGTCAGAACATATGTAATAAAAAAAAAGAGTTTGTTCTGTAGTATTTCTGTAAATTTTAGGTCTATATATTTAGATTAAGTGATTTTTTAGTGTATGTGTTATTATTTCCTTATCAAAACTTTGCTTGAAATTGTTTTGGATAGTTTTATGTAAATTTATGATTTTTGTAATAAATACAGTAAACTGCAATAATAGTGAAATGCAAAAATTAATATGTAAATGGCTTTTGAAATTTGAGAAAATAACAAAACTTCATTCGGCTGTTTAATTGCATTACAATTTATGTCACAAACGACACCTATCTAAAAATATGCTTCAAGTATACATTATCAAAATATATCAAAAACTGTTTGCGGCTCTTTGCACAATTCACAATTGAGAAACCACGAGTTTGACACCCCTGCTCTATAGCACTGGGGTTTCCCAGGACTCAATTCTTGGTCCTATATTGTTCTTAATAAGTGTTAATGATGTTCTGTAAAACTTTATCTGCAATTTGGTCATATACTCATATATGATGACGACACAACTCCAAACATGCTTCGATGTAAAACCTAATAGGCGCTCTTTATTCAATTCCACATTTTTTTCTTGAATTGACTCACCTTATCAAAAGATGCCGTGTAATGTACTTAATGAATGAGTCATTTGTTGTGAAAGCTTTAAAAAAAAGTCTGGTTTCTTTACTCTGATCGTAGATATTTGTCATCGTAATGAATGCATTACATGTAAGAATATATAATTCGCCCTTGTATGGAATACTGCTGTTGCATCTGAACTGCTACTTGGAGTGATTGCTCGTAATTTTCTGACCCGAATTCTAAAGCGTTCAAAACTATCTTCAGGCTTGCAAAATTTTCTCCTTCGACGAACTGATTTTGTAGATATTATAACATACTTCGTTTGTCTGAATTATCTACCCCCGTCCCTTCTAATTGTTTCACTAGATTGCCCGCTAGTTCTCTCTTGATTGCCAAAGATATTTCTTCACTTAATTAAGTTGAATTTGCTTGCAGACTTGTATAAAAAAAATTAGCTTATGGTGGTAATGTGACAAAAGAGGGCTCCGAACTGGAATCTCAATTTTGAAATATAAAAGTTAATATTATCCAATAATGAGGGGTGAAGTTTAATAGGGTACAATCATGAGAAATTAAAGTAAAATAGGATATGACGTGAGCATATTAGAAGACGTTTTCCGCTTTCGTCAATAACTTTTTTTTGGTAATCATGACCGGAATATCTTGTTATCAAAAACTATCTGAAACCATATCGCTTTCCCCGGCTGGTTGCGATCACATTCTTAATTTACAAAAAATATGCGGACGTTGAATGAGTCAAATGGAAATCGATCTTTGCATCCCAATTCTAACAGATCTGACAGCATCCCAATTGATAGAATCATTGTTTGTAGTGTTCGAATTCTCCGCCAATTCTAAAACAGAATGCCATTGACAACAAATTATGATATTCAACTTCGAGACAAAACTGTTGATTCTGCTTCGAGGCTTTCAGTTTATGTATTTCTCATGGAACTAGATTGAAACAAACATTTGAAAACATGGCACTGTTTTGCACGAACCCATTTTCATACAACAGCTATATTGTTACCATATTCAATCTCTTAAACAGGTAAATTTATCTTGCATTATTGATAACAGGTATTCATATTTGTATAAGGTTTGTTCCTATTTCACTGTGAATTTCGAGAAAACTTTCTAAGTTTTGATAACAGTTAATCATTGCTACCACAGTATGCAATATCCGTGATTATAGCGTAATGATCATTACAAGCCTGAGAAATTTTGTGGGAACTACTATTCGGTAAAATTACTCAGTCATATATAAACACCGTTTGTCAAAACAAATGCATCAATAACATACCGCTTACATTTTTTCTAGTAATTCCCTCGTGATGATAAAAAATTTGGTGCCATGTTGAAACGTAATTCGTATAAGTTCGTAATATATGATGCTATACCATTGTTTTTTTATTTATTACAGCGGCCAAATACTGATCTCGTGGTACTGACACCACTCCATGTAGTGACTAGTTCACTGAGTTAATGCATCAAGCCAATTAGCCATATACGCGCCTACGCTCATGCGTGAGCGGAAATATTACGTCATTCACGTGAACAAATGAAGGCAACTTCCGGAAGACTCTTCATATGTACTGATAGTGATGGGATGGAGTGCACATCGTTTCATGCTGTCATAATAGGTGATTGCTATCTATGACAGCGCGGGGTTGCAGAGTGTCAGTACTGTCACGTTTGACGGACAAGATAGCTTGTATTGAATAGTGTTGTATCAATTTTATGATTCAGAATTATGATCCTATATTGAATAAATCTGAATCTAAATTTGACGATATAACACAAAGTAGATCCAATTTCTGCATTTTGTGATCAAATTGAGAGGAGATATGCAGCTTCAATTATGTGATCGTCGCTGTTTTAGGCGGGGAATGATACCTGAAATTGTGGATTTTATTTCGGATTGAACAAATTATATTTGAACGGGGTAGGAAGATTTTGATAAATTTAGCAAGGGCTGATTTTTCGGTGAAAACGATAATTTCAAAAGTGGTTTTTAGCAATATATTGATAGATAAAAATCATGTTTCAATTTTGAGGGAAGTAATCGACAAAGCGAATTTTCAATATGATGATAGTTTAAAATATATTTGGCATATTTAGATAATAGGTACGGATAATTGATATATATTAATTCACTGAATATTTATGACGTTGTTTAGCCATAGCATTGAAAAGTGATAAAATAGAGAAAAAACGACAAATAAAGTATATCGCAGCGATAATATCTGAGCAGACATGGACCTTATGACAGTAAGTAATTTTTCGTTTAGTGGATTTTTCGATGTAAAAAATGTTCTCGCAGTGTATAACTTACTATTTCATTGTATTGTGAGATCCGATTTTTAATTCCTAATTAATTTTTACTAATATTGCCTCCTATAATTTGTAATGAAAGGAATGCAGGGTTAATTTGTTTTCAATCAATGATCATGTCGAGGAAGAATAAGGTATTGCGGGTGACAAAATTCTTGCGTGATCAATCGTGCCATACATTTAGTTATGTGATTAATCAAAATTATCGTAATAAATATTGGTAAAATACGGCTTCGGGACGATTTTTTTTTATCCCAGAGTTGTTAACCCACTGAAATGACTGCCTAAATATAACATTTTATTTTGTAAAGAGTATTTTCATAGCGTTCATAATTATTTACTGTTGAACCAGTTGAGTAGATTCGAATTTTCAGTTAAAATGGTTGATCGTCTGACTGAAATAGAGACAGTCAATTATTGACAAAGTCAATCTATAAAATAACAGTTACTCAATTTTGATTCATCTGTAAATAGATTAGCTATGGAGCTAGTTAGATGTGTATCTCACATCTATTCAATATATGGTTTTGCATTCAATAAAAACTGATATAATAACAGGAAATTCTTAAACCTTTTACACGACGCAACCGCTCTGATTAACATGAAAAAACTATGTTGTACATTGTGGATGTCAATACCCGGGAAACAACGCTTGCAACAAACGACATATGAACTCGATTTTGAATGAGCGGATAAGCGTTATAATATATTCATGCGAGAATTACACTTTATTGTCTGTCCATCTTTGGCCCACTCTAAATATGGATTTGAAAATCATATAAAAGTTTTGTAAAATTTATTGAAATTCGGAGTTACGTACAGATTGGGTAAACTGCTTCAGATTAGAAACATGAATAAAGTCAACACCTGAATAATTAAAGTATATATTTTGGTGGTTTGATGATAATATATATCAATATAATTAAATCCTTAATTATGCGCCTGAAATCATTCATTATTACATTTTTAACTTTATTTTTCTTTACTTCTAGGCCGCATTCTTCCTATTTCTGCTTTTTGGTGAGTTCTTTTGTTTAAATATGGTACAAAACGACTAAATGTATCAAATAGCATACTTATTGAAAGGTTCTATTCTCTTGTTTATTAGAGAATGCCTCTATTGATAATTACCTAATTATTCAAAAAATAGTACGGAGAGTTATGGAAGGTGCAGAATGTTTTCATTACCGGTAATCAAAATATTCTTTGATGTTTTTCTTTTGGAACCATATTTGGGGTTCAGGGCAATGGGTCAAATAACATTTTCGTAAATAATAAATAAAATTGTGTATTCTTTCATTTTTTTTAAATAGGCTAATTTCATACTAACATTTCCAGGTAATTCATATGGAATGAATATACTAGTGAATTCGAAAAAGTGTCCCTCCGCCTATGAAAATGGGTATATCTTTCAAGACACCAAAATAAATTATGACGGAGCTGTTAAATTATGCGACAGTGAAAACGGAAAGCTCCCTCTACCTACAGATGTGAGTATTTTTATTGCTCCGTTTAATGCTGAATTACTTGCCTTTTAACGTGCTTATAATAAAAATTCGTAACATATATCTATAATAACTGATTGGTAAATGAAACTTGTTAATCTATTGCTCGGTGTACTATTAGTTTTGCAAGTCTGAAAACGAAAAAAATGTTTCTATATTCAAACATCAAACCAACATTCTTGCAAAAAAAAATCAAATCGACGCCGATTGATGTTATTCTATATGTAATTTATATGAATATGTAGGATTCTCGGTTCTTTCTTACGCAATTTAATATTCGCCTTTCAGTAGGAATAGTTTAATAATATTGTTTCTAGTTTCTAAATTTAACTTTCTTTGTCATTGTCAATATAAATCTCTTAAAACTGTATTGACAATTAAATACAGACTGACGTCTAATGCAGATGAGTGTTTTATGGAATCCAGTGCCTATACGATGAATCGCACGTCATGTGTTTTACTCAAATTGTTTGTGAAAAGTTTCACACTTTAAGGGTTTCCCCACAAAGGGACTGCTACCTTATTAATCCACCTAAACCAAAATCGCTTACCGTAGAATGTTGTAATAGGGCACATTATTTCAGTGAATGACTGAATAGGTCAACTTACTATTGTCACTATATCTAGTCATTCAAAATTTACGTATATATATGAAATAGTTTCATAAATTTCAATGAGTAAAGGGCACATTGCACATCGACAAATGATTAAGGCGATTTATGCGGAAATAGCACCGTGTGCTTTTTCATGCAAACCTAGTGCCACCATAAGGTGTTTATTAGTGGTAATAATAATGCATTAATATGAAAACAATGATATATATAATAATTTTGATAAGTGACGTAACAATCAGCTGATATGTACGTCATATAAGGAAGTGATGCTTTGCGTTTGTCATTATTTATCCATCGCACAAACATGCTCGCATCGCGCAGACGAATACGTTATTAATAGAAGCAGGTAACTTTGTTTCCTGTCTTTTTTTTATTGTATTGTATTTGCGGAAGCTGTGTTTTTCTACTTCCTCCTTCTATATACGGATACTGGTTCAGGAAATAACTTTAAAAAATCGCATTACTTTTACTTCTTTGAAAAGTTAATAGAATATCAATCATTATGAAATATATAAACCAGATAAAAATAATCTATATTATACGTATGCAAATTGTTTCTGAAAACAGCACGATGATTCAACTTTTTTTAGTTTTTTAATAAGCCTACATCACCAGTTATATTATACATTTTTATATTCGTATAGAAAAATTGGGAAGAAACTTTAAAATATCTGCGTGATAAACAATCACGAAGTAATCATCCAGAAGAGGGAGATTGGATCGGGATGACATTTGTAATAAACAGCGATTCTAAAATACTCGCGCACGACAGCGATGGAATGGTATTGACGCCGAAACAGAGGAAATTGATACCAATCACTGATGAATACATACAAGTAAATTTATTGGTGAGTCCACAATAGAATTTGTACAGTGACAACATAGGAAATGCTTCTCCAAATTTTCTCAAAGCTTTTTCTTCAATACATTTTTGTTGGGCCAGTAAGGGATTTAGGATTTAGACCTTCAGTTAGTTTAATTATCAATATGAAATCATACACAGTATTTAAAAATCAATCAAATTTTCTGATGTTCCATTCATTTACAATGATATCATACATTTAAGTAAGTCGCCTTTGTAAATTAGCGTCTTACTCCACACGGAGACATATATAATATGAATACCGCATGAATATTGTAGATTGAACAACGTAAATTAGAAAAAGTCTTTAATATATTTGTGGTTGTGGATTATTCTCTGCCTAAGCAGCTTATGTGTAGAGTACAATTCATGTGCAATTTCATTACAAAATTCACGCTTTCTGTTATCGCCAGGCGTAGGATCATGAAGTACCATAGCGTGAGTTGAGTCAATAATATTTAAAGTGTCTTTAGATAATCATATTGCTACATGTAAATGATATCTAATTCTACTAGAAGATTATAACTCAATTCTCATTTTTTTAGTCCGCAAAAAGGGGATGCGTTGTATATTTTCCTCCTGATTCCACTCATTCTGATTGGTACTTTGATCTTCAATCTTGTGGAGGAAACGGCGTCAGTCCTCCTGGAAGGGCCGTGTGCAAATGTATTTCTGGTACGTGACATTCTTACTATTTTGGCCCAACTATCACGAAAGATTATTAAAAATTGTTATTATTCTATTACCTAATATTTTGCCGTACTCTGGATACAAAGCGCTATAAATCATATTTATTAAACTTTCAGTTATAAAGCTAAATAATAAAAATGTAGTATACGTCGTTTCTGATTTTTCTATATGTCCCTGCTGACCAGCACGATTTAAATGCACAAATAGCATGTGTGAGTTTCCTCTTCAAATTAGTCAAAATTTCGTGCGTTTTATCGTGAGTATTTAAGGTCAAACATTGATGAAATTTTGAACGCACACGAAGCAGAAAACTCCTGCGTGACAAAGTACACCGTTATTGCGCAATTTCAAATCTTGTATGAATTGTAAAGAATTAAATGTAAAAATATGCAATTGGATTTATCTGTCTGTGTGTGTGAGCTTAGCAGAGTTTTAACTAGACTTAAAAACATCAAACATTGAAATATTGCAAACAAACTTAACCTAACCAGGTACGCACACTACGAGAGTATCCAAACTTTTAACAAAATTATCACCCGCAATTCCGTATAATGATACCAGTTGAAAACGTTCGAATATCGCTTTTTAAGCGAGATACAAAACACGATGCGTTATTTAAATACGTTTTCTGTTTACATGCACCAACGTACGAACTATGTGACGAGGTTTCGGTTTTTGAAGGTTCCATGTGCATCGAAATGTAGTCTGTCACACCGAGACATCGATTGCATTCTGCATTACTCAAAAGCGCATGCCGCAAGTAATTGAAAATATTAACTTGTCGAACATGAGCCGAAGATGCCAGTCGTAACAGTAGGCATCACGTATCGAAATCGTGAACAATACGTTTTCTGTGTCATGACTCGTGGGCGTGCACTTTTGTAAAACGAAATTGTCGTAGACTCAAAGTTCTGATGGCTTGTACAACCAGTTACAGGAAACGTCAGTAAATATGGTTCCACTTTGATGCTTTGTATGGTTTGTTAAAAGAGGTTAAAACTTGTATGACACCCACCTATCTATTCCGCTAATCTATAGAAACTACAACACTTTATACTTTATTGAAAGAGATTTCAACATTTTTGAATCCCACGTCTAACACCACTGTGTTCACACTGATATTACATTCAGGTGGGCCTAAACACATACATATACGTATATATAGGTACTTTTTAATGGCATGTTTTAATTACACATTTTTCTGATTTTTAATCATTGAAAAGTGTTTGTTAGGTTCTCCATTATCCTAATAATATACTTTAGAAACCCTGCGTTTCAGATATTCAAAAAGAAGTACCCCCCGTCTTAAAGAAGGCAGATGTTGACAATCAATCAGATCCTGAGTTAGCTCAATCAGAAGCACAAACTGGTAAGCCTTTTACAGTAGTGTACTTCTCCCGGCGCTTCTGAAGTATGTGTACCAATATGGAGATAACTAATTTTGTTAGCCTATTCTATATCAAGTTGTGTAAGGAGCCTATGGGCAGGAGGTACATTGACTTGGCTAACACAAACAGCCCCCGAACTTGTGACAGAACTAAAATAAGGAAAATCGGAATGAAATTATTGCCTAACCCTAACCTGGTACACATACTACGGGAGTATCCTTTTCCCAATAAGCTATAGTTAACTTTTCACCCAAAGTAGCGTTCAAATTCAACGATAATTAACACTGATAATGAAACTCTTTTACATGGATCAAATTTTATCAGTCATCTATTTCTTTCAATACTATTTATTTCATGGAAACTGTTGGAAAGATATTTCTGAAAGAAGATGTCGTATTGTACATTTTCTATTTATTGTTCTTTAGTATATCATTATTATAAATTACAGAAACAAATGATTCCACATCATTACAACCAAAAGGTCGAGCAGGGCCTGGTCCAGCCAGGAACATACCTGGCGTTGATGAAAATAATGACAGTTCTGGAGGAGCAGGTATTTAATTATGCAAAGTCATTTTTGTTTTCTCACATTATGTTCTCGTAAGATTATCCATCTATATATTTCTATGTGTATCCATTTCGAATTATTTCTTATTGGACACGAAATGCATCTAGAGATTTTTATGTTGTTGTGAAAAAATGCTTTACTCCTCATCTGACGGACCGCTTCAGTTCAAATTATCGCTACCTAACGATGAAAGAAGTTATTTATTTATATAATTAACGGTTTCACTTCACATGACATTAGGTGCAATTCTTTAACATTTAGCTGGGATATTGCTGACTTTGCGCTGGTCATATTGGTCATTTGATTTTCGTGTCCATATATTTGAGCGCTGCATTCCATTGTTATAATTATTGCTGTCGATTTAATTTGTAGGAGATTCAACTACACCTCTCGTTATAATGATCGGCGTACTGTTTGCTTGTTGTCTTCTTGGGACAGCATATTATGTTATGAAGAGACAAGGGTGGAATGTAAGAAGAATGGTTTCAGATAGAATGCCTTACAATAGGCCAAGACCGTCGTTGAATGGTGGTAAGTCATCAGATATATTTTAACACCATTTGTGTTTGAAGTTTATCTGATTTGCATTGCTATTAAACCAATACTTAATTATAACCACAATACAGTTCTTTTGCATCAAAATATATCAATCCTATATCCAAAATTTTCAGTGTTGTCACTCTGATACTGAACTACTGAAACAATGTCTTAACGATAATTCTTAGTGGCATCAACGGTCTACAGTTAATATTTGAATATTATCTTTTTCTCATTAATTCCAGGTACTATTTATCTTCGAGGTCATGAATCATCAGAGATTTCATCGAATTCTCGTCCAATACATGTATATGAAGAAATTATACCTCGAAATCGTTCAGGAGCATTTCTTGCATCGTCTGCTCAACGAAGAGCAATAACGTCCAGCTCAAGTAAAATTTTTCATTTCCGACATTATATTTTGAGCAATAATTCAATTATTATTTTCCCCTAATATCTATCTGGTAGGAAATATTTAAAAAAAAAACGCACGATGATGTAAAGGCACAAAAATAATGTTAGACTTATTATATTGCAAATTTAGGAAATGATGTTTGAAGCTGTTATTCTTATTTAAGCAGGGTTGAGTTTTGTTTATTAAAAACTGAACTACACAATTAGGGAAAAGTTTGAAATACCGATAAATTTTTCCAATACCACTATGGCAGATAATGCCAATATCAATCGATATGTAAATCTCTAGTGATTTTTTGAAGAGAAAATCCTAATAAACGATTCTAATATTAAAATATCCCATTTTATACAATATCATGTCATTACTAGGTTCTGTTACTATGCCTCATCTTCCACCTCCTGATCCTCCTGTTGGTTATCTTCCGGAACATCTACCCGAACAATTTATTGAACATGCATGCAATTCCCGCGAGGACGGATACATGCAGCCATCATTTCGGAGAAAGGATACAATACCAGGAGATGTAAGAAGCCCACCACCAATACAAGACAATGTTTTTACGTTTCCACTGGCAAAGCCTATTCCAAAGTAAGTAAAACTTAACTATTTGTGTTTATTGTTACTTCTAGTTCATTGGCAGGAATCTTAAAGCAGCACGAAGAATAGTAAGTCGTTTTAGCTTATCACACATATATACTGTTGATCAGTTGGTTCTGTTAGAGGTAAATCAAATTCTCTCTTCTGCAATATCCCGATTTTATTGAATTCCTATCTCTTTTCTTTTCTTTAGCCTTCAATTATGATATTTTCCGCATGTAAAAATAATATTATATATAATAATGCTTTATATAATCACAGTGAAGATATTTTATAGACGTCTATCCTAATTATGGTACAGTCAGTTATTAGTGGAGATGCTTACTTATGCTCAACAGCGGAATTGTATATTACCGGTATAATATAAGCATATATATGCGTGCCCAGTACTCATCTCCAACTCTTTATCGGTAGATTAAATTACCAGTTCAGATCAGCAATATTTCTAATTTTGCGCTCCTTGCATTGTTGTGAATAATCGTTGCCTACTTCGCCAATCGGAGTAACGTTAACTCTTGAAATATACTGTTTTGGATACACTGTACAGTATAGGGTTTAAAAAAAATCTACAATTTTTATTAGATCGGTAAACTACAACTAAGATTCTCATTTTTTATACTTTTAGGATGAACACACTTCAAGTTCCAGATGAAAAAGAATTGAAATACGCGAGTGTAGAAACCGTTCAAACCTTACTGGATGATGAAAATGGAGATCGCGACGAAGAATATCTTGTGGATGAAAATGACAGCGGCGTTAATGTTAGCACAGAAAGTCGAGAAGAAAACTTGGTCGTCGAACTTCCTAAAAAATGTTCCTCTGGCAGCAATGACCAAACTTTAGCCACAAACTCATATGTGCACATCACCGAAAATCCACCCCCCGTTCGCGATGTGGCTGGATTCGAAGCTATTTCTCCTGTATTTGCTTGTAGCAACGATTATGAAAACGAACGCTTTTTAACCACAGTGATGAAAGTTCCTCCGGTAAAACCAAAGAGAAAAAATAAAAATTCGCCACCCATGTTGGAACCACAAAAACCAACGTCGAGTGATTCCGTAATATATGCAAGAATTCCTTCTATTTCGAAAGAACCGGTTTATTCACAGGTAAAATGAGTTGACAATATCGAATAGAATTATGAACATGAGTTGCTTTCAAATAAAAACGCCCGAGACAAATACCCTGGTTTGGGCGAAATTAAAGCGTTCATCCTTTTGTACCCTCGATTCCGGGCGGTGGGAACAAATACGGTATATTTAGTCACTGTCCATCGTTCTTAATTTTGTTGTAACATCTAATCCATTTTCACAGGTTAAACGCAAGGAAAATCGTACACAACCAACTGAAAGACATTCAGGAGCTTACACACCGATGAGAAGCGATACATTGAAAAGAGAAAGCACCCCACTTCCGTCTGAAAATAGCATTGATCAGTCTCCAACACCAGCGGAACAAAACGTCCAAGAGAAACATGAAGGCGCATTACACTTGCCATTAGTGAAAATGGCACCTCGACGAAAAAATTTCATTTCCTCGCCGTCTATGATATCGACAACAAATAAAGCGTTGGAAAATTCGTCTCTTGTTTGTTACGAAATTCCACCCGAAGAGGATGATTACCCATAACCAAAAACATAACTAAAAAGTAATATATGACGTTTCGGCAAAGTCCGGTGATGTGGAAACGAATATAATGACCTTGGCATAGAAGAAGAAACTTTTGTGAGCTGAAGACAAACGTATTGGGAATACGTGTTAGCACCCTTCTAGAACGTCACTGAAAAAACTGGGCGTTCAACCTTTTTATTATGAAGGATTTACGCGATCTTGAAGGCAACTTGAAGACTGGAAGTACTGTTGAGAAACTCTTTATGGATTCTAATCGTCGTGAAAAATATTTCTTTTTCGAATAACGTCATTTGATATAATTGTCATTTTTTTTCTGTATTCAATTAGATTTTCATCCGAAAATATCGTATAAAAATCTTAATTATTTTGTGTTATTTTCTTGCTCTGAATTTAAATATTATAATGATATTTTACTTATTTTTACCTACGTTTCAAAAATAATGTTACCATTTTTTATTATGTTTCAATTATTTATGTTGTTATTTTTATGGAGTTAAATTTGTTGCACGTTGTGAAAAAAACATTTGTATGTTGTGGCTCATGCTCATATTGTTATTTGACACAAATATTTAAGTCGAAACCACACCAATTTCCGTCATTTGCGCTCCGTTGTAAAGAAAATTGTACAACATTTTTTGTTTCTTTTACCCCGAATTCTTCAATTTTATTCTGTAAATATTGTTTTAAATTGGTAATAAAATTTTGATTGCTTTTGAATTCATTACATTGATCACCTAATTTAAAAATCTTTTTCATGCTTTCTCATTTATATCAATGAGATTAGAATTCAGTGCGTCGAAGTCAGTAAAAAATTTAAAGCATTCTATGTTACACGCCATTATATTGTCAAAATCCGATCCCCTGTCTAGAATCTAAAAGACAGCTGAATAGCCATTTACGTTAGAGGGCATTATAATTATAATTGGAACGATATATCCATTCCCCGTCCTAATTTTAATTGTTCACCTTGATTCCATACTGTACGACTTCCACCATATCAATCGTTGAGAGCATAAGGAAATTTATTGACAATTAGTGATTTTCTACATCACCCGTCATTTTAAAAAACTCGGTCACGCGTTCCAAACAAAACATTGCTATTTCAGTGTTTTATTGCACTTTAATCACAGAGAGAGAAGCATGTAAATTACAAAATTAAATTACTAATACAGAGACAGTGATTACAAAATGTAGAATAATTTAAAACTATTGGCTTACACTTAATGGCAAAAGTTGTCATGAAGATGCTATTACTGTTATATAGAAAAAACTCAAATAAAAGAACTAAATTTATCTTTGTTTAGTCATAAACGTCGTATAGATAAATATTACATAATAGTTTTATTTTAAAACCATGACAAAAGAAATTTCTGGTGTGGAACTGTTTTAATAAAATGCCCCGTGAGAAGAATCAAAAAAGATTTTTTTCATTCGATATTTTTTTTATATATATATTGATTCAAATAATCGAATCGGAAAATGGTTGATTTGTTTTTAAATATATTTTGTAGATTTTTGAATTTGGCCGAAAAAAAAATACCGCATGTTGCCTCATAACGAAAAAAAATTAAAGTTGTCATCATTAGTACTGTATTGTTTTAAAATGAAAGTAAATGATATATCATTGACTCCCGAATTTTCTTGTACTTCGCGATAATTCAATCCCATCTCTTAAAAACTGTCCAGTGTCTTTTTCGTCATTCCGCGCAAGAAATTTCACAAGTCTCGCTCGTAAATCTGTCGTCAAAAACAAAAATAATAAAGTGAAACAAAGAAAAGGGGGAAGATAAAAAAAATATCGAATTGATGATATATATACCTTCTATTTCTTCGTTTGACTCGACGTTTTTCACCTCTGGTTTTCGACCAATCTAAAAGTAAGCAAATGTTTGAAAACTGATAAACGAAACAATTCATTGCATAAAGTTATAGCATCAGTTTATATTGTAAAGGCTAAATATCGCGTTTGGTAACCAAGGATCTTCTCGATTGCTTGCACAAATGGGTGAGTAGTAACGAACATCATCTAGTAAAATTAACAAACGTATTTATGAAAACGAATATAAGTAAAATAAGAAATAGATTAGGAACTGGTAACATTCGGTGGAAAGATATGACATGGCTGATTGTATTGCGAGAGTATAAAAACAAGTAAAATTGAGTGTAATGTACACATTGCGTAATAATTTAGAAATGAACTCTACCTTGGCGTTTTCTAAATCATTTGCTGTTATATCCTTTCCATGCTCTCCCACAAATTCTGCGTCGATTATTTCCTGGTCAAGTCTCTCTGGTAAAATGTAAGGACACAATGGGGTTAGAAATTATTTGACGAGGCGATCAAGTGTTCGATGTTGTCATTCAAACAAAACTATGTCAGCATATGCGGCCCTAGTGCACTTCCATAGGCCTAGCGATAATTCCAGGGGTGAATTATTAAATTTTACCATTGAAATTTTTAATTAGGTATAGGTCTGTGTGTTTTTTCTGTATATTCGATACTCGCAAAGTAAAACTGCTGACTACTACGTGATTTCGTACTTAATTAGGAGTTAATGAAATGCAAAGATGACTTCGTTTTCTATTATAAAATCTCATTTTTTGGGGGTATTATTTCTATATGTACCCAAACTGACTGCTTTGCAATGCTGGGTCCCACAATAGTTAAGACCATAGCTATTTTCACATTTCCAGTTTACCCATTTACTTACCACTTATATCGAGAGGATTCTTGGGGTCTATGTTCAGTGATGCATGACCGAGATTGTTGTCGTCATTCTCTTCTACAACCTCTTCTGCGATTTTATCTTTTCCATGGCAACCGATACGCCTCGATCTAAATAAAATTATGCTTATAAGATGCAGATGTGCATATGCAAAATTTATTCATGAATAAGTGTCAAGAGCCAAATGTACGAGATTAAAATCTAAATTACACTTTGCGTCAAATTTCTGTTGAGCGGAAATGAAAATCCAATCAGCAAAATATTTTAAAAAACTTCGTCAGAAAGCCTGCTTGATTACTTACCCTTTTTTCTCTGCTGTGCCCCAGAATATCATTCGAATTTCTTCGACATAAACACCTGTTTCTTCATATTGTCCACGGTTGCATTTAACTACAGTCCCTTTGTTGTCTTTCACCTTCATGAAATTTAGAAAATAGTAAAATGGTTACTAAATATCGTTTATGATATTTGAAGGCTATTTCATTACTTTGTAACAATTGTAATCACCACCGTCAATACAAATTTTATTGAACAACATATACAAAGTTAATCAGCCATACTCGTAGTTTCCACACTCCTCTAGGATCTTCTCCCCAGCTGTGAACCGTCATGAATGGCCATTCTTTTACTTGCCCTCTACTGGCATCCAAAGGCCTTGTTGACATCAGCTAAAAAGAATTTTAATTGCGTTAGACATAATTTGTAACAAAGAAAATAGTAAACTGTACTTCGATTTTTAAAATCTCCGATACGTTCATAAATGAAGTACTATTTATTGGGTCATATCAGATCAAGTGCTCCTATGGCCGTACTAAACCTGCTAGACCGCATTCAAAATAAATATATATATATCGAATATTATTGACGTTGGCAAATTCTTCCCTATCCATGAAATGTTGCTTGAAAATAGTTTATTCGCGAAGTTTTTTCAAAGAACTTCAGTTATCTGGAAAGTACTACCCCACAGCTGTATTTCTGATCGGAATGGGCATGGTATCTAATATTTAATGAAAACCAATGCATAAAATGAAGAATAAGTTAGGTTGTTGCAGTAGAATTTCATGTTAGGTACCTGAGATACTGTTCCACATGGGGAAGTGAGCTCGATACTGACATCACCGCGGCATTTCGGTCTGTAGGTCATGATAACCTGTCAACAGCGTTGGAATAAGTTTAATGATTGCATTTAAATATAAACAAATGCTTGATTAGAGTTCAGTTCATAATGTTCACATTTGTACAGTTTAAATAGTTTATAATGTGTGCATAAATATCATTACAATATTAGTATTCCAATAGTAGCGTTACAAAAATACTAAATAATTCACGAATAATAGCAGTACTACACGCAAATACAAAGTCTCGTCCTGATTGGTAAACCCTGGCCACATTTTTTGTGATGTTTTACCAAGCTGCAGTAGAATACGGCAATAGTCACGGAAGTGCAATCAATTGTACAGAAACAATATCGTCACCAGTAAAATAATAGCTGAATCACTGCAGCCATATTCAATAAACATTCGAAAAACCCACAAAGTACCTGCACATGTTCCAGTTCCTGCACGCGGTTCAGTGAATCTGAGCATGCGGTAGTGTGTCCTTTGAACGTCACGTATTTTCCTGCTTCCACGAACCTAAACATTAATCATTCATTGGGTTAAAATAGGAGTGAATGGGTTTATATTGAGATATATAATTGTACTTGTATTGTTATTTTACCTGTCTGTGTTTGGAAATCTCACTTCACATCGCTGCTGTTTTCCAACATTCTCCCATTTCTGTGCCGCCATTACCAGCCTAGCTGCATCCATAAGACCGAATCCGTATCTGAATTATATAATTTTAATCATAACACAATTAAAAAAGTACGATTTTGGAAATTGCATGGACCACGATTGCTAAACTCATTCTAAAACTCGACACCAAATAAAATTATATTTTTCAAATCCACATAATTGATATACCTTTGTTTCATTCACAAAGTACATTGAATCATTAGGCAATCAGAAAAACGAATACCGGTATATATTGATATATATATGAAATATTATACAAATGTGTGAGCGGTGGTTTATGTGGTTTAAGGCGTTTGACCTCAATATTTTGGAGTCGCGGGCTAAAGATTTCAGGTTCACCCAAAACATAATACCTTTCTATACTTTTGTTCCATTTTTACGTATACCCCATAAAATGTGTATGGTGTATGTTTCATATATTTTGTTTCTGTTCCATGACTCTTTGAATCGCAAAATAACTATATAATATGCAAAGTCCGAGGGTTAATTAATCTAGTAGTCATGTGAAATTTGTTTCAATAACACCAGCTCTGACACTTCTTTTATTTATAATTCGCATCATAATTCAATATAGTTTATATATAATTCAACACGCACTCTATATGGAAATCGTTACGAATTGGAACGCTGATATAATATTTTTACTCGTTGCATTAAAATATAAAGTGACGTAACTAAACCACAACATCCGCGTAGCAATATTATGCTGCCTACGCTAAAGTTGGTTAAAAAAATACGCAAGTTTTTCCAAGCGTCTTCATTCTATACGCAGTATTGTCAATTAACTCTTTGACTTCCTACAATACTCAGAGTTTCAGTTAGTTAGACACGCTGCGTCAAAAGGCGAAGGTATTCTATTGCTTAATTAATGCATAGCGATTAACATAACAGGAAATACAATGGAGCCTAGCCCCCAAACGCAACGCCAAGTTTTTGTATCACAGTATTTGTCCAGCGGTTAAAACTACTGTGCTTTTCCGTATATATGAATGTAATGGGTTTGAGTCATCAGATTATGTGTAATATATATATGCAAGTGGTTCGATGACTATCGTGGGCTGTGGATATGAATTATGTGCTGCGGAATTAACCTATGTAGTTTATTTATTTTTGAATGCGTGAATGACACAAGGAAAGTTACCGTAGCATAGTGATAGAAGGAAAAATACTGAATGAGTATCTAGCAGCATGCGAGCCTTCGTACGGTTTGGTATTGCTTGTAAAATTTATAAATTAAGACTAATAATTAGATTACAGCTGAAAATCGAGAATATGAGGTGACTGTTGCCCAAGTAAAGTGGAGTTTTCCTGAAGCGGACTATGTATATTGCGGTCAATAAATCTTATTCGTATACTGTATTTAGAAGTTAATGAGATTTCAAGAAATTTTTATTTTAAATGTATGTCGTTGTACAGAGGAATCTGAATCATCATCTTTGTCGATAGCCAATTTGTTATCTCAGAGACAAAAAAATTACAATGATATTTACTCCAATGCCGAGACTTGGCCCCGAGTCTGATGAAAAAGACTCGATTGTCATTGAAGATACTCAAGAAGAAAAGATAGCGTATTACTTCGCAGTTCCGTTGGCTGCAGTAGCGTTCATAGTGATTCTTGCCGTATTGTTATGCATGAGCAGACAACGTGATCAAGTGCACGAAAGAAGAAGACAGACAATTGATATACAAGAAGGCGTTCGCGACAACGATAACTGGGAAACGAGAGTTTTACCTCCCAATCAAGTACAAGATAATAGACCCGGCACCGCAGCAATTCCTCCGGTAACGCACAAATTGCTGAATTCGTCCCAAGTTCCAAAAACTGTTTCTTCATCACCCGGATATACGAACGTAACATTTGAGTCATCAGAGACACCAGGAACGTCGAACACGGGACACGTTACAACTCCTCCAAGACTGCATCATAACAAAGTCCGTCCTGTCGGGCAGGCACTTCCTATCATGATAGCTACACCACAAACTATGGCAAGAAACGCTAATCAAGGTTATCCCAGTGCCAATAGAATGAACAATCTGAGTATGTCAAAGGGACGAAGTAAAAGCGATGTTGACAGTAAAAACTTACACCGTATTGAACCCAGGCAGAATCCCGACAGAAGCTTTTCAATTGCAAATTCTTTAGATGTATCGCCCGCCTTTCGGAGATTGAAATACAACACGTTAGGGTCGCGACGTTACGCTGGCCAAGACGGCGTACATCGAAAGGTGCCGCCATCTCATCTATATCCAAAACCAGCGGGGACTGAAGAAGTCCAATTAAGTAACTATAAAACACTAAAAACTGATTTCAACTACGAGATAGTCGAAAAACCTCCCGCAGATTCTAGTATACACCACTCGGTAACTTCTAGATATAATACTTTGGAAGTAACGCCAAGAGCAATTAGAGCCAGTCAACGGAGACGCGAAGACGAACAAGAGTGGGCTAGGAACAACTTCCTCACAACAGAGAAACAAAAATCCAAACATCGACACAAATTTTCAACTCTTCGCCGACCAAAACTTTCGATCCTGTCCGTTAGCGAAACATTGGGAGATTCTAGGTCGGTTGAAGACAGTAGTCTTTATGCGAGTAACCTATCACTGAATTCAATCGTTAGAAAACGCTCTTCAAGAACCTTGACCCCATCTCCGTATAAACTACAAGTAAAAAATTCCATCAGACCAAATCGCAAAATTGAATATAAAGATGGTTTCAGAAGGAAAAAGACAAGTATTCTGGTAGGAAGATCTCACAGGCGAAAACTGAATCGACAGTCTACGGAATTAGAGTTGGACATTATAGAATCACCTTCTTCTTATTTAGGATTTGAAACCCCACTCCCCCCACCTCCAAGTGCTTTCATAGAAGATGGCATTACATCAGGAAATAGCAAAGCGAAAACTCTCGCTCGGCCCAACCACTATGATGCGCCACGCGTTCCTGTTACGAATGTATCTGAGACCAACGCATTTGCAAATGAGAACGCGTTTAAGGTTGCGGAGCAAATGTCAACGGAAAGTGAAAACGATTATGAAGAAATAGAAGCTACTGTACCTACCACTGATGCAACTCTAAATAAATCAAATGGAGGTTGTTGACGTTATTTTTATCATATAATGTGGATTTATTTTTAGCAAAGTGAATGATATGCATGTATTGTTGTGATATTTAGTATATACTGTATATGTATTACGCATTCAAGTTTTATGCAATTCTCATTGGAGACTTTTTTTGGCATGTTTTATTGTGTTTTTTGTTATATTCAATAAGTGGGTTTAATTTTAAAACGTATGTATTGCATTATGGGTGAAAACAGCAAGTTACAAATGTTGTCGGATTCTGTTTGGATTGTGAAAAGCATGAACACTACATTACTTTATTTTTGAGGTGGGTGGGAAATTATTTGTGTATTGTGCCCTTCAAATCGAAGTATATCGTGTGAATTTAAATAAATGTTTTTATATAGGTCGTCCAGCAATTAAACCATCTCATCATCAACCAGAGGATCGCAAGAAACAGAAAAAATCAAGAAGTGAAACTCTTCGTATTGTTCTGGCTCTGACATTAAGTCAAAGAAGGCGACGCAGTGATGCTACGGGGTCCAGTTTATTTAACGAGATTGAAAACAAAAAGAATGTTCTGATAGGTCGAATAGTTGACGGATATTTGATTCCTATTGAACCAGCTCAAGATCCGGTTTATGTTGAGTTTTCATCCTATGACGCAAACTTGTCGGGAAACGGGCCGACTCTTATAAAAACCGAAAGATTGAAACATACTGGGAAGCGTGTAAAAAGACGAATGAACTCGCAGACTATAAATAACTTTTTCTCGAAGAAATTTAATTCCAGGAAACGCCAAAACTTGAAAAATTATGGAAATAAAAATCATAATCAATTGGGCAACCAAACCAAAGTTCGACAGTCTTCTACAAATGCAGTAAAACGGGCAGTCGAAGAAGATGGAAGTAAAATCAAAGGAAACAAACAGTCGCATCAAAACGAGCAAAAGGCATGGGCCTTTCCGGATAAAAAGAAAGTGATCTATGTGCCAAAGCACAAAAAGAAACGAGAAGGTAAAAAAAATAAAAACAAAGAATTGAAAAAAACAATTAAGTTAGTTGGGATTGACAACATGGACGAAAATTCATATTGGACTATTCCTCAGTTACAATCGGAATTGTAATAGGAAAACTCCAATCAATAAATGATAGGTAGTCCGGTTTGATAGAAACGGTATTTATTATATAGCGTCATTTGTTAAATGTCACTAAATAGCAATTACGTAACAATAGTGTAATTTTTCTTTCTTTATTATATGCAGTATACCATGTAGACTAAGATTTTCACATTTGGCTTCTCGGTGAAAAGACGGTGACCGTACATTTGAACCGAAAAGACACATTCTGACATTTTTCCAGTCTTCGTTACACAATATTACACAAGTACAACCGCATGTCCAATAATGTAATCTTCAGAAATAGCCAACTTACTTGTGATGAACATGAAATCCAGCCCCGTTGATATCCCATCCATCCTCTGTGGGATTAGGTATTTTAGAATTTCTTACAATCAAATGTTGTACGTCTCTCCACGATAATTTTGGACTGCAAATAAAATATCCATAGGTTTTCAGATTATATTTAGGAAACATTAAAACATTACGTAACAGAAGAAAGTTTGATGAGTAGGCTAAATGAAAATCTTGCTTGGGTTTAGAATTGCCAAGCAAAATAAACATTCAAATTTTCTTCTTGTTTATTATATTTAGTAACCTATTTTTTATTATGGGAAAACGAAACTGAATACTTTCTTGCTAATCTTCAGCTAAGTTTTTTCTACAACTAAAATTTATTTCGTTGAGTTTATTGCATTAATTTCATAAAAAATGAAATAAAAAAATTCAGAATTTACTAAGAAATGAAAACATATATATATCCTTTTTATTTTATATATATTAGAGATGTGACCTATTTGATTTTTATTAGTTTTTAAAGAAATCTACTAGTAAAACAATTTTTTAGTAAAATGTTTTTAATATGAAGTAGAAAATGGCTTACTTCGCTTGTAGCACAAGTGCTAATACTCCTGATGCCAGAGGAGCAGCACTAGATGTTCCAGTGAACGTATTCACACAACCGTGGTAGGGATCTGTAGTAACCTGTAAAACATGGAAAATAGGGGTAATTACTTGGCAAGTTGGATTGGTACGGAAGATAGAATATCTTAGTTTTCAATTTTTGTGTACTTGAAAGTATACTGATTATAGTAACATTCTCGTGCATCCTAATAATTATAATGAGGGTATTGGTGGAAATCAGTATGCCAACGCGTCAACAAACCTGTTCTATTGAAGATATGTGTGGATATCCATATCAATTCAATTTTTACTTTTGTGTACATCTTGAGTATCGGAATCATTATACTACTACATTTCGATTTTCCAATTGCGGCACACACTGTGTGGCGCAAGTTACGTTGCGCCATAATTCGCTTGACTAGTCATGCATAAGTCCAAACGTTACTGTTGATTTTCGTTAGGCAGTAAAGTACAACTCATACCAGGTAATGTGAAGGTTTATATGTCTGAATTGCGACCGGCATATCATGTGGGCCTCCATTCAGCGTAACTGCCATGATACATGAGCATGATTCCGTGTAAAATGTTGATAATCCTTGATCGGAAACTGACGCTGAAAATAATAAGATAGGATTTATTTCATTCGAGGGAGGGGGAAGCCGTTAGGACGGCTTAATCATATAACAAACCACGGCCTCCCGTTCGGTTATCAGTCCATGACGGTATGGTATTTAGTTATAGCCAGTTATTTTTTGTTTTTAGATGCGTAGATTTGATGTGAAAAAGTTGGTTGTTTACGTTAAATAATATAGTAGTAGATGTAAACTTTGAGGTTGGCAAAGTAAATATACCTATTCCAATGGTGTAGATGCTGCAGGTATATCCATCTGCTCCGCAATGATCCCCTGACGCACCTCCGTTTCCTGCTGCCCATACATAAATACTACCCAATCCGTCTCTGCCCTGGAATGTAAATAATGGTGATTTGCAAGTAGTGTGAAATATTTCAAGATGTTTGCCTTTAACGGAACAATACTATTCCAGAAATATTTTGGGTTGTATTTGTCAAATTTCCCAGTCGTGTTTTGGATATATGGTGATTTACAGACAAATGCAAAAAATGTCTGCATGGCTTTGAAAAGATAACCCAATGTCAATAAACTACTTAAATATATTATCGGCAGAGCCACGCTGCGTACACATTTGTATATTTGACTCTCAATGATTTCACGCTGAAAATTGTATTTTCGTCGGATTAAAAATTAATTTAATGTAAAACTGGTAATTTAAAAAGAACTTTTCGATCCAGGCTGGAGTGCGTGAATAAACAATATTTTTTACGGTCAGTGCGTATCGATTGATATGCATTGGTATTCTGGGAAACAACGAAAAACGTTGTAAAAGGGTAGAATACATAAATATTTAATAACGTTGCGAACTACATGACATCTCAATCGCACTTCCTGCTAAACTTATATTTCCTGACATTATGACGAAAACATTTTATTTGTACGTTTCGGAAGGTGACTGTTGTCAAAATGACTGCGAAGGATATTCTATAAACACGTTTCAGGATATATTCATATAAATTGGTCTGATCACACTATATTGAGGAGCAAAAACACCTAATTTTGCTGGCTTTTTCGTACTTACTTCATTTGATCCAACCTCCAAAGCTGCCGAGGCTAAGCGTCCAGGTCCTTCCCATGTCTGTCCATTATCTTGAGGTCCCCACGAACAACTATTGTATATATATAAATATATGCATCGATTAGCAGCTGTTGCTCATAAAAGATGGAGCATAAAGTGAATAGAATACTAATAAAAAGTGTTATCCAAGGCACAAAATGGAATGAAAATTCACACCTGTAGATATCGATGTAATCAGCGTTGAAAACCAATGCTGCAGCTTCGCTCGTGTCTGTAACCACACCATCTAAGAATCGAATTCCTAAAAAAAATTAGCGCTAATTAGTTTGGAGCGCGTACCTTATTGCAATAGAAAAATGTGCCGAATATAAACCCGTGTATGGAAGCTTGTCATTTACCTTTATGCTTTTAAATACAAGGTTTTTTACGTGTAGTTATCTTTTAGCTGCAAAAATTTTAATTTGCATTTTTGAAATCTGAAATACAATCAGGTGATTGAGGTAAGCAAGGCAAAAGCCCAAGAGTCCAATTAATGAAGATGTAATAAATCGATAGATTGATTCTCGATAACTAGCGACCGCGGTGCGCGACGTAAATACAGATTGATGAGCGTGCTTATTATTTCTCTGGTGGTTAATCATAACAGCCGGATGAGAGAAAATAATTATTCTATAATACAGTTTCCGTTATACCCCCCATAGAAGTTTATTTCTGATGAACGGTGACGTTAATAAAGATGGAGGGATTCTTGCAAAACATGTGCATTGCATAAAAATATGCATAAATAATAAGTTTGTAAACGTTCATACTCGTTCGAAAATTTAGTGATTTATGTTAGCTTTGATAACCCCTTCAGACCCTATTAAAAAAAAAGAATTTCCAAAATTGTTGTACCTATTATAATAGAGAACATGCATGCCACTATTAATCCTTGACTAACATGCATCAAGTTACCGTTTCATTTTACAAGTTATTTTACAAGTTACTTCTTACCTCCTAACGTAGCGTCGTATGCTATACCAACACCACAGTAATTGTTGTTTGGTCGCATCGATACTTCCCCGCCACATTTTGTTCCATGACTAAAAACAAGATCGAAAAAAATTAGTTATGAATATTAAACTAAACGTGTACCGACCCTATTTTATTACTATACAGCAGCTATTTTCATTTAACAGCGTTCATCCGGCACTGCATGCTTACATTCTATGCTCCAAGGCGGTTTTGGCAATATAAAATATTCTGCACACTGACAAACATGTAAATATCGAATAGAGTTTAGCTTTTGAAATTTCTTGAATTTAATAAAAAATGCTTATCGTTTGGTACATACTCGTTTCCGAATGACGATTTGTTGGGTAATGGTCCGTCTTTGTCATTATCATCATTTAAATCCGCACTCGCCCTCTCATCCTGCAAAAAAGCCAACAATTCAGGGGGTAAAAAGTTAAAGTACATTAACCGGAGAAAACTAAACAAACCATAAAAAATTATACAAATGGTGATGTTTAAAATTAAAGAGATTTGCTCACATGGTTAATTTCACAGTACTCGATTTGGCGCCCCATATATATTCATATAGCGCACAGCGCGTCATTGTAACGTCATATTTAAGAAAAAAAGTATTTCAAGTCGTGCTCATGCATATTATTGATTAGACTTAGCGGTAACGGATTATTACTCATTATACTTACAAATGCATGTTCCAAGTCTTCGTTTACATAATCGACTCCGTCATCAACAATCGTCACTACGACCCCCCGCCCAGTGAATCCTTTTTCCCAACAGGGGACGACATTCAAATCGACTCGATGAGGTCCGGATGTTTGTCCGCAATTATACTAAAGTATGGAAACAAGAAAATATTACGAATTTAAATAGAAAAGTTCCTGAATCGAAACATAACTATGTCTGTTGTATGGATTTGTTGATGTTTTTGTTTGGGCACGAGGTAGATCTATGGATCGTTTTGTTAAATTGTTGTTGTTAGTATTCTTCTTGGACCTATTGCTTTGAAATTTTCCATGGTTAATTACTGTTGTTGTCGTTGGAAGGCTATTACTTTTATGTATTTATTTGGGCTCTATAGGATTCATTTTTCAGTTTTGTGTGATGACGTCACCAAACTTTAAAACCGTGATCGCATTCTAGCGATCTGAGGGCTAGCGAAATTAGGAGTTTTTTCATAAGGAAGATTGCTGGTACAGCAAAAGATTTCATACTATTTCGTTCTGGCCTTTGTGTTTATATATTCGAGCATTGCCCTTTTATTCTTTACCAAATGTAACAGCTCTGCCATAAGCGATCGTATACCAACGCAAAAGTGAGTCATAATAACATGTTTGCTGATCCAGAAACAGTCGTATTATAGATATTATTATGAAAAATATAATCGTATTAAACTGAATTATACGAAAAATATATTGAAGGGATTGTAAGCGTAGGATGAAATGCTCGCCTCGCTTGAGTCCGCACGTATAGCGGTAGTGTCCCGACGTTGCGGAAGATTTATAGGGTAGTATAGGTTTAATAAACAAAGACAGCGCATTAATTTACCGTATTTATCATACCGTATTTGTTGCACAAATGCATTGGGAATGAAATTGCATTTCTGCAATTCATCGGTCGATAAGATGTGAGGTATAATTTAATTTTGGTAATTTCATTATAGATGAATCAGTCCTGGCGATAAAGGTCGAGTCCGCGTGAAAACAAAAATTGAATTTTTATCGATCTCTCAGCCTACTTGGGTTAAACAGAAAAGTTTTTTAAATAATATTTTTAACTACTATTTCTAGTCTTTATTAGCTTACCCAACAAAGAAAATCGAATATTTAAATTAAAGGATACAAAACAGATCGAAAATTGGAATGTTCTCAACAATAGATTTTCCACATTATTGTGATCATCATTAAAAATACAATGAAAGGGTGTGTTTCACTCATTTCACTCATAAAGTATTTCATATGGCTAACAGTCTCTAATTTACACGACTGTCGCCACTGTGTGTGGGGTTTCCACGTACTATAAAACCTGCACGTGCGATCGAGAACAAATTATTTGTGAGCAAGAACTAAATTTCCAAAAGTATTTTTAAGCACTAGTTTTAATCTGCAGGTGTTTCATATCAAACACGTTTCACAAAACTTTGACATTGACATTTGAGATGCTCAAATGTTTTGCCGTGATTTTATATTGGTATTTTAAGATTTTTGATGTAATATATTAGGGTTTGCTAAAACCGGAATATTTCAGTTTCAGTAATGTATGGTTTGGGGCAAAAATATCAGTGAACAGTATATGCTGCTGAGAGAAAGTATATATTGTATCGTTTTTCGCTCTTTAATGAAATCGATATGGAATTATATTAATTATTTTGCCCTGTTTCGTCATACATGCCAAAATCATACAAAAATAATGGAATATTTCTAATTCAAGATATATGAATAATAATTTGAACATAGGATATTCTGATGACATTTCTCATGAATATGAATGCCTATACGAAAAGGAAATGTCTAATGTTGAGTAATACAATAAAAAGGTACGGAAATCCTTTTTATTCGACGAAATTACAGTCTTTTTTCAATCAAGCTCGTTTAGATTCCAAGAGCAAGAAGGTTATGAGTTGGAATTGGCACATATGCCTTATCGCTGTTCGTCAGAACTCATATCATGAAATGTGTCTATACTAAGGGTCGGACAGACCAAAATGAGCATACATGTCTTCTCATTAGGGCTGTGTCTCCTTTCATTCTCTTGCCAAAAAGATTTCTCTTTACGATTTTTGCTGAGAACCCCGGTTTACACGACTACATGCTTTTAATTCTTACCAGTATTTTTCAAATCGCATACATTTTTATTTGTTTCAATGTATATTTAACATTTGGTGCAGACACAAATATTTTTTGAATAATTTGGTGACTCAAAAATTTGTTTTATCTTTAAATAAACATCTATACCTATTTATAGAATATTTATGAGTGAAATATTGGCATAGTTAAATTTTATTGCATTATTTTGAAGGTGATCGAATTGCCATAATAACAAAAAACAAATTTTGACGTACATAGCACAAACACATTTGCCACGAGGAAATAATAAATAGTTGAAGAATGAAAATATTTTCAACATTACGACTTACCAATTCCCATTGGCAAGGCCATTTCGGGTCATTGAACATTGTCGACAAACTCGGGTCCGATTGTCTGTCCAAAACAGCATAAACATGATCTCCGAATCTTAAGACAAATAGTTGAATTTAGTCGTTTTGATATCGATAGTAATCGATGGAATTGTAAGTTCATGTAATCATGTAAACTACAGTCATACCAACAAGTAAAGTTAAATTACTATATGCAATTCAATACATGAAATTGGGCAGATAACATTGTATGAGAGATATTTGCACCATTGGGAAATATATATAAACGTCAGTTATGTGTAACTAAATATATATTACGATGGACACAAAACATCTGGCTCAATATACTTTATTATGTTTGCCCGACATATTGGAAAATAATTATTGTTTGCCTTCAATCATGAATAATTCCACGTCGTAAATTACGTTCAGAAATTCGATTCTTTCGCATCTCAAACATAACATGGGCGGTACATAATAATGCACGAAATGTGAAGGCCGTACGTTCGGAAAAATGTCACTTGTGACCCTAGACTACGTAATAATGTGTCTTACGTTTCATGTGGGTAACTGCTGACGTTTTTGCATACACAATTGACGTCCATGTGATGTCGTTTGTTTCTCGATAACAAAACATCTTTTAAATTCCATTTTTTTGAGACGACCTCTTTGTGAGGACCTTTCCTCCCTGTTACCGGAAGAACTGACTTCCTTTCTCTTTCCAAAGCGCTCTGTTGTTTTACCCAGTTGACCTATGAAGTGAAATATATGATAAAGTATGAAAATATGATTAAACACACTTCTAATTCATGAATTTCATATTAAAAACAGAAGAGACAAAACTTCATTTACCAATAAACAAAGTAACAATACAAGGTATACATCCAAATACACTCTGGAAGTATCAATTTGTCATTTGTAATTATAGCTATTTCACTGGGATATTATATATATTCAAATATTTTTCAGTATTGTGAGACTAAACAATAGAACCCATACAGCGAACGTTTATCTTGGTTGATTATAGTTGATATTCCTCAGGGAGCCTTACCACAGACAAGAAGATATTTCGTTGCAAAAATACATTTTAAATCAGCCCATTGGAACAAGAAATTGGAATCTCTGGAAATTGTTCGGCTACGAAAGAGTGCAAATTCAGGTGACAACATAAATACCTCAAGATACTTTAATATTGACCTACATATGAACCGCATTTCTGATGCCATCAGCAAACAAGAACAGACGAATTATAATAATTTGAAATATAAAATTAATTCAAACTATGCTCATGAATTATGCATAGGATATCAATTTAAATGTCAGATCCTATGTGGATTTAAAATGATAAAAGACGGCATTTGAAATTACTGTAGGCCGTAATTTTTTATAATTAGCACAAAAACAGTTTTGTCATTATTCATTTAAAGCCAATCAATTTTCCTTACGAAAAGATGGTAAACCTAATTGAAAATTTAATATCTATAAGCCACACATGAACACCAGCTGTGTTTCTCATTCACGTAGGGTACATATATAGAAATTCCGGTACTATGCGCGAGGAACAAATGAAAATTTTTTTAAAATAATATTTCTTACAATTAATGTCGAGATTTTTTGTTTTAATTCAGTATTAATTCCCGATAGGTTAAGAAATAGATTTTTCGTTTTCATCATTGCCAGGAAAGATTTTTAATATAGTACAATCCGGTTGCATGAATCAAATTATTGATCATAAAATAGTATTTACTCTTGGATCATGTTGAAGAAGAGATGATATTGTCTGAGCCTGATCTTCATCAATATTTCTTGAAGATAGACGATATAATTGCCTATCTTGTCGCCCAATTAAAACCTGGGGTAAAAAGTAAAAAATGGGAATATTTGATTTCTAACTGAAATATGGATTGTCCTATACGACAAACAGATATGTTACTGTGGTGTTCACCTTGAAATAACTTCGATGAATTAGAAAGAAAACTTAAAAGCTGATATCGTATTACAATTTTACAGATTCGCAAGTAACAAATAATGTGATGCAAAATCACGTATTTTATCCAAAATCTGAAGAAAATGCCAATATTTTCTGCCTTCCTCGTGAGCATCTCTCCAGTTCAATTTTCCCTTTCACATCAAACCTTGTCTGAGCGTGCGTTATCGTTTTGTATTTATCGTTTTGTTCGCAATACGTTGCAATTTTATATACGAATCAAACCCAAACATCACACCCAATTATAATTTGCCCCATATCTACAAATGAAATGAATAATTTTACTCACAGAGACTTTTTATGACGACAAATTCGGAAAACATACCTAACAAAAATATAGCCATGTTTTGCAAAGACAAAACATTTTTATCCATTATTGACCGAAACGTCATGATTTATCTATACAGTATAGTACTTTCGATTTGAACGGAAAAAAAATCGTGTAAAGTAATAAACTAATATAAACTTACATTTCCACTCAAAGATATTCCATGTCGTCTTGCTACATCAAGGGCATCTTCATGTCCTCCCGGTATATAAGCAGCCCATTCAGCAGAGCGATCCCTTCCACGCTCTTGTAAAGTGAATTCAAATGTTTCAAAGATGATTAGAGTATACAAGAACAGACGCGGGAAGATTCCTATTCTACATTTCCCCATATCTAAACGGATAAGATATTTCACCCACACGCAAAGCAACTCTCCAAAATGTATAATCTTATACTGCGGTTCAGCTCTTCGGTCGAAAGACAATTTTTGAATCGACGGTGCCTATTGTTCTAGGTGTTTAATAATTCACGCACGGTTGTGATTTAATTGCCTCCCACCGAGAATATTTCTTCGGACATAACACGGGCATGAAATTTTAATGCTAATCTTCCCAACCCATATGCGAGTCGCATAGAATAAAATCGTCAGCGCAAAAATATATAAAATAATAGAGAAAAGCATTTTTTCTCAAACTACGTTAGAACAAAACATCACATTAATTGGCATTTCTGAGTGATTCAATCGCCATAGAATGTCGATGTCAGCCACCTATGATACCCTGACATAGGTGTGTGACATGTAATAGCACGGTGTATTAACTTATCTCTTATTTAATGACCGGAAAGATATATCCAGATTCATCAGACCATAAAAAGGGATGAAATATAATTTCCAATCACCATTTGACCTTTATTTACCAATTCAACTGCTTCTTCCGAAAAACAGACATTTTTGCGTGGTTTTAGTTACAATGCCTCTAATAAAAAAATCATTTATTAATTATAATGAATATTCCATTGCAGCTGTTCTTTTGTTTTCTTATCATTAAAATGTATTGATTAGAATCTCAAAATCATTCTCTAATCCGTATTGCTTCTGCTCCCGTAGGGGTTTAAAACCACGATTGAAAGCTATTCTTGTGTATTCTGGTACCACGCATATTTGGAATGCATATACCACATAGATTTATTTATACAACAATACTGTATGCATATTTACGCCAACGTAGTACTCAATCTCCCAATCATTTTAAAAATGGAACACATGCCATTTCAGCAATTATAGTATTATTTGTTTTAGATTCTCTGAGAAGATTCATTATTATACATCCTTATTACATCGCTCTCACGAAATCATAAATATTTGGAGGTATAGGTATTTGGCAGTTGTTGACATCGTATACGATAGATAGATAATGATTACCCTAATTTATTATTTTATTATAATTGTGTTTTTAACCAGTTATATCATTTTTATAAGTAGGGAGAATGATGTTTCTATCATTTTGTATTTCACTAAATCATAACTTTCATCAGTGTGGTTTAATTAATCTCATATTATATAAATATCATTTCAATCAGACTCACTCCTGCCAACTCAGTGTTGCCAACGTAAAAAAAATTTGGCTAGTTTAAACAATATTGAATTTTGCTGATCTCTGAGTTTGATTTAGTGTTGGCTGATTCCTGTCAAAATCATAACGTCAAACCTAAATTCAAAAGTGATGGAGTACATACTACGGCGATAAACTAGAGCTTCAATGCGTTCATTTACAACTCCAATTTTGTTGATATGACCGACTCCACACGGTATAAACTTACTTATTTGCTAAATAAATATCACGACAAACGTTTTGCGACAAAAGTACTTGTTCTCATAGCAAATGCAATACGTTTAACTCTTTAAACTATGATTCGCTTAATTATTGTCCCATTCCTTATAACCCTGGCTTAGAAACGAGCATGAGGCATCAATGTATAAAGAGTTATTAGTTACAAGTCTCGGGAAGACAAACAAAATTATTTGACAAGAAGGCGTTCGCTTTTATGCTCGTCTTTATGAATAACCGGTCTAATCGGAATCTACCTTCAGAATAGTTGTAAAACAACTTCAAATTGAATCAGAATCATCTATGGCCGTATTCGTTTATAAAGTGCGGTTGACGGTGATCACATTTGCCATCATGCTGCGGTAAATATGAAATCGTTCCAATGTGTAACTTGTAACCACGATTGTACTCGACATGGGCGTTTCTGATTAAACTTATGGAGTTTGATATTTACACAATATCGAAGTTGAATGCTCACAAAATGGCCTATTTTTCCGAATTACAGTCTTTTTATTATTGGTTAGAGATACGTTTACGCTCGGTTTCAAAATCTCGCAGCCTTAACTTTTGTTAAAAGAAAAAGACTTACATTGACATTTTTTATAGAGCTGTATACCACTCATAATGGTATATTCAACGTTTTCACAATCGTAAGTTCATATCCCATATGCTGAGAACCTGCGACGTTGTGTATGTGTCACATCTTTGATAAAGATTGAAATATCGAAGTTTTAAAATGGAAGAAATGAAATTATTAAGTAGTGTGGATAGGCATACTGGTCTTCGGGCCCCCGGAAAACTACTTGGAGAAATTTTATTGACGAAAATAGGCGATCTATTCATGTGTTATTATTTCACCGTATGAGAGTCAGTTGTTTCCTAAATTTTACTCGGCATCTGGTTTTTAGCAAACAGGAGACAGAAATTTGAAACCGTTTGAGACCCATACATAATTCACCTCGACGTGTATATTATATCAAGGAAGAAAGCGATATCGACGCATTGGGTGATATATACAGGGTGGGTAATTAAATATTAACAACTTTTGGCCCACCCTGTCTGTAAATTAGGACAGGGTAAAAACGGATGTATTAAAGGGAAGTTATTATAAAATAGAAAATAGTCCGGGGCGTTATCAAAGGTCATCATACTGAATTGAAAGTACGTATAGCGAATGAATTTATAACAATATTGACTTCAAAATGTAGAACTCCAGTCGTTGTCAACAGCCCGAAAATGAATACACGACATCAACGTACCCGTTTGGTAGCTGTGAACGTATCTGCGTCTTGTAGTGTTGGTTTTATTATGACGAATGTATATTGACTCGTGCGTCATATTTGTCGGGGCGAGAAAACGTCCCTCTGCTTCCCGCTAGCGATTAATTAAATATTATTTTCAGCGCGAAATAAACTCAATTTGGCAAATACAATCACTCCTACGGAAATTTTGGGGCACTTCCCTATACGTATGTCCGCATAAGAATGCTTTCCAAAATTATAGTTTTGAAACACCACGTCCATATTTACTCCATACGGAGAATTGCTACGTCATTCTAAATTAAGAAATGCGACTATTTTAGTTCCTTACCTGTAATTTGAAAACCTCAAAAATTACAGTTTGTTTTATTCAGTCTCATAATCATAGGACTTTAAAACAAGCCTTTGAATAATACGAGTTGATGGACATTCATATCGAAATTTAAACGCAAAGAGCCAGATTTCATAAAAAAAATTCAATTTTCCATACTTAAAATAAAAATGGCGGAGCACCTGCTTCACATCATAAAAGATTGCAAAGCTATGAACACTAATATATGCATATCATTCTGAAAAACGGAGCAAAACGAATGAAAAGCGCTCTCTCAATAAATAACGTAAAGGAATCTTGTATATAACCTACAATTTGCAAAGGGCCCCTTAGTTTAAGTTTGCCAGCTCGTCTTGTGCCAGTCCTGAATATTGTTCGCGTCATGGCCCAGCGCTCTAGGAAGACTATAGAAGCCATTTTGATTTGGCATAGAAAAATTAATCAGGTAGTATTTGAGGTGTTCGGGCATGGGGGTCTTTGTTTCGTTTTTCTTCTGTTGTGTACGCTTTATCGCTTGCTGACGATAAGACTCGGTCGTCTCGGCGATCCACGTTTCCCTTCCATAAAGGTTCATGAGTAATACATATATATTATATCACTATGCATTGAAATTTGTGCTTCACAATGATGACCTTTTTTCTGCAAAAATATCGAATCCTGAAATTTGTATCATCGAACATATCCGAACGATGTTTGCAACAATTGTCAAAATTTTGATCTATTGTTAAAAGTATGGATGATGATCACTCAGTTCGAACATATGAAACATACGCACGGCACGCAGTAAATGAGATTTCTATAACAGTTTTCAGAGAAAAATGCGAATGCAAGGTGCTGGTATAAAAACAAGACAATGGGGCCGATGCTTCAAACGATCAATCTGCAATACCAATAAAAGCCTTCCATTATTATCCCAGATAAATTTGAAATTTTCATCAAACTATTCCAAAGCGAAATTTAACAGGACAAGGTCACTGATATGCAGAGCAGATACATGTATGAAGCATTATTGGACACGTAGTGGACACAACGATCGTTTCAAAATTTTTTGTTATTGGACACGTTTAGTGGACATAACGATCGTTTCAATATTATGTTGTTATTGTTATTATTTGTCTCCATCATTTTTAAAAAATCGCTTTTCTCTTCGAATACTCGACCAATTGCTTTGAAATTTTCAGTGGTTAAAGATAAAATTTTTCTCCTGAAGGCTATAACTTTTTTTTTCGCTATGACGTCATCAAAATTATTGCCATTTGGTGGCGATACGTGTCCATATATTTGAGCACAGCTCTCTTGTTATTATTTGTCTCCATCAACACGTTTTGAAGAAATCGCTTTTCTCTTCGAATAATGAACCAATTGCTTTGAAATTCTCAGTGGTTAAAGATAAAAATTTACTCCAGAAGGCTATTACTTTTTTTTGTTGCTATGACGTCATCAAAATTATGTAACTTTACGTGTCCATATATTTGAGCATAGCTCTCTTGTTGACGTTATGTCCAGTCCCGAATCAAAACATGCCCCACCCATTTCCAGACAATATACCCGAATACCAATGGACCTTTAATGCTTTTCATTAATAAACGAATTAGATACTCACAACCTAACTTTTTTGTTGTGTATTTCGTGATGAGATAGTGGATGGCTAAAATATAGGCAAAGAAGTGTGAATAAAAAAAGTGTGTATTAAATATGCTCAGAAGAAACACTCAACAAACATATCAAAGTCACTAATGAGCATATGAATGCTAATTCATTATCCGGTTAACCGTTACTATAATATCCTGATATCAGATAGTAAAGCACTTTGCACATTGAGTGATGCACCTGCGTTTTTACATCTTGCTGATTGGCCAATGTTTCGAAATAAACAAGGAAGTCGATGCTCGGGGAAACATCCATTGACACCGTCGAATAAAATGAGAGGCATTGAAAAAGGGTAAAATCGACAAAAATGGGACAAAATGGAGAATATTTGTAATGTAAAACAAACTATAAAAAGCGGACAATGGACCTTTCTCCGACCTTTGACCCCTGAAAAAATTCTCCCCATTCTTTACCATTGCAAAATTTTCGGGGCTATTCTAAAAGTGCTTTTACGAGTTGGCGCCTGTGAAATGGGGTATGTGTTTCAAACCATCATTATGATTCATCGCATACAACAATCTGTTTTTTAACCCTGCTAAAACGCCTAAAAACAGTGAAAACCGTCAAAAAACACCAATAACCCTGCTAAAACGCCCAAAAACAGTGAAAAACCGTCAAAAAACACCAAGAACCCTGTTAAAACGCCTAAAAACAGTGAAAAACCGTCAAAAACACCAAGAATGCTGCTAAAACGCTTAAAAGTACCGGTAAAGAATTTAAGCCTAGTCTATCACAGCTATTTCTACACTAATTTTTATTACTGCAATCAAATTAAAACTCCTAGAAAGACAGGGTGACCATTGAATAATCTGATTTACATTTAAGTTTCCAAAACACAGCTGAAAACTAACGAATAGAGTTCAAAAATGCGAAAACGAGGTACCGTAATGTTTACGACCACGCTTGAAAATCTGTCTGAGTGAGAAAAGTGTCTGAGCGGATGCTAAAGGGAGCATTGTTACGTCACTTTTTGCAATTTTCTGATTGGCAATGTCACGAAGTAAACAAGGAAGTCGATGCTCGTGGAAAGGTCCATTCGCCAGTAAGGTTCAGTAAAAAAAATTTCAGTTCTAGTGCACCGGGGGATTTCCCCGGGTCGGTAAAGATGACTGTTGCGCGATGCGGATTGCGAAAATTCTAGACGCCATTAATTTTTTTGACTCGTCGCCCTCTGCCTTATGTTCCTGTTTTGTTTGACCGCGCAGTCTACGGTATGTCTTGAAGATGTTTTAGCATCAGTTAACACCAGATAATATTGTTTCCAGCGTTGTAAATTGTCCCAAAATTCTCTGGTTTGTTTTCTTTGCTACCTGTATTCTGGTATTGTGTTACAGATTACTGGATTAGGATAACTAGGCTAGATTCTGCAGTCTGCTGGTCTGGCAGTTCGTAGATTAGGTTATTACTGCCCCATCTCGCTCTGTTTATTTTTAGGAAGGCGGATGGGTGATTGATAAATTACAGGCTAGTTTAACTAATAGAAACAGGAGGGAATACCGGTAAGTTTCAAATCTCGAAAGGCCTAACTGCAGAACTGCCAAGTCTACAGTTATACAGATAGATATGTCTGTATCTACATGTAGATATTTTATTTCAATATTTTGAACACCACCATAATACAAAAATATTACAATATGCAAATAAGGGAAGTTTGTAAAACTAAATGAGGCTTAAAACATGAACATAAAAGTATGGTAATCTCACCTTATAACATGCAATATGAGTAAAAACACAATGAAATACTCTTTAATCGGGCTTTAATCTCGCGATAACAAATGAATATAAATTATAAGTCAAAAAAGATGAGCTGCTCTCTAATCCTGACTTAAGCTTGTGATAATAGATGAACATATGAGCTCTAAGCTTATAGCATCTGTTGGCTTATCCTGTTATCAGAGATTTCGTAATACTATAATACAGTAATATCTGCTTGAATAAGATTTTTTTTTTTAGTAGTGTAAACGATCTGACGATAGAAAAGACTCGATAAGAGTAAGACTTAACACAATAAGTTTTGTTTTTTATCATGCACAATAATTAAATTTTATCATATTGTACCACATCTATATCCTGGCCTAATTATGAATAATGCAGTAATGAGCATTATATTTTGAAAATCATTTTTCAGAATTATAACATTATATATGGTGATTTTTGATAGTTTCAAATAGTTCAAGATGGTTCTTGATATTTCCAACGCCATGACACCTCCTCGTTTGGAGGAATTGGCAATTGCTTTTATCGGTGACAATTTGCTACAGACAATATGCAGAGGAAATGTCGATGGGGATCTCAGATTGAGTGAGGGAGTGAATTTGCCTCAGTCCTATTGCTGACCCCAATTTTACAATATTTAGTAACTCTCTCAACATGGATACAACTCAGGACGAATCAGAAAGTGAAAAGCTTGTTAAATATATCAAAATTTTCACTGATGCAAACAAGTGCAAATTGAGGAGAATCAAAATCAACAAAGCACCAGTGTCTGATGATGTTGTACAGGTCTTATGTGATTTGTGTGAAGCTCACTCACTTCTAGAGGTAGATTTGAGCCATTCTAACGATACAAATGGCGATGAGAAAGACCACACACCTCCGTACAACCATGCTGTACTTTTACCAAGTTTTATTGTAAAACTTTGTGGCAAATCTCTTCAGAAGTTGATCCTTCATCGCACTTTTCTTGCATACAGCATAAACCAAATTATGTCATTCAGTGGTAAGAAGGCAAGAGCATTGAAACAAGATGTTTATTTAACATCTGACGCCACACTAGATCATTTAGTAACATGTTTGTCATCAGAAAATGCTCCAATGCTCACAAGTCTTGATGTTTCTGAAGCCTTCATTGCTTGGTTTATAACCATTGACCCAGAAAATCCCCCACCTTTAAAAGTTGTAGATTTTGCAGGATACGTTGATACACGTTTAAACTCAACCATTAAAAAGATATTGAAGCATTTTGTATATGGGGAAGAAGATTACAATCTAGAGCCTGGCAAACGTGTACCTCTAATTGCTCATTCTAAAAGTGAAAGAAAATTGGCAAAATACCCTTTTTTCAAAAATATAGAATCAGCCACACCTATGGTTAAAAAATTCATTGAATCTGCAAATCTTGAAAGCAAACTAAATGATGATTTAAAATACGATGAAGACTACAGCTTGGAACCGGATTCAAATTTTGTTTTTCGTCAAATGAACCTGCTTTCTTTGAAAAACACACTTCAGCAACTTGGTCTATTTCACACCTTTCTTTCAAAGCGAGATTTTGAAGAAATAATTTTCAATCTGAAAGAATTGAGAGTTTTAGATGTTTCATGGCCTTCGCAAAATATTGCTGCAACACGTCGTTTTCGACCACAAGATATTACATTGTGGGAAATACTCGATAATTTGCCTCATTTGAAGTCACTTGACGTGAGTGGAACATATTATGGAGAAAATTTATATACAGACGCAGAAGTCAGAGGAACGGAAAAGTTCTTGAAAATGGAAAAAGAACGTGAACCTCTCCAGTTTCTGGGATTGTGGGGTACAAATGCTTGCAAACTGAAAGAAATAGAAAAGCTTGCCGAAGTTATCACTGGAGATGAAAACGAGGAACAATTGTTAAGATGCCTTGATATTTACATTGATCGAAAAGAAATAATAATGGATGTTTTTACAAAATTGTCGAGGACATTGCAACAATCTATTGTTCAGCAACCAAATCTTCTCCTCAAGTTGATCATAAAATGTATTTATCACTACCCAACAAATGATAGGCTCCTCTTCTTGTGTGCCACCAACTTGTATTATCTTTTTCAGTTGAGATCATCTGATTTTTCAGTCTATCAAAGACGTGATATCGTTCGGGCAGTAACCACAATGCTGGAGAAAAATCAAATGAATAATATGCTGGCCAGAAATTGTATGGTCATCTTCTTTGATTTTGATCTTCCCAAAGATTTGCTATTTGATTTTGACCACATTGCTAAGTTGATTTTGAATATATTTGACAAACGAAGAGATGAGAGCGAAATTAATTTCATTGCTGGTAACTTATGCAACGCAATGATTTGCTCGATGGAAATTAACGTGAAACCTCGAATCAGGGACCTGGGATTCACAGGGATCATGATTGATATTATCAAAGATAGATTGAGGAGTGGAGTTGCTGATGATACTCTAGATACAGCTTGGAGTGGTTTATGGAATGCCACAGATGAAACAACTATTAATGCTGAAGACTTCATTAACATGGATGGTATGTCACTCATTCGTCAATGTTACGAAAAGTTCGAAGGCCGTAATGACCTTCGTCGTAACCTGATGGGTCTGACTGGTAATCTCGCTGAAGTTCCCCACCTACGTCCTTATCTAGCAGAAAAACAAAATTTGGACGTAATTGTTGATCTTGTTTTAAATGCGGAATCTGGAATTGAAGCTGCGTACAATGCATGTGGAACTTTATCAAACCTTCTCATTGATGATTCTGACATACTCAAAGATGCACCTGTTGATAAAATTCGCAGTGATATGCGTAAGCAATTTTGTCATGGACTCCAGAAGTCGCTACTAATGTAAATTACCGTGCATTTGATCCTTTGTTACTTATTTTACAATGTCCCAACGAACCCATCGGTCATCTGTGGGTAATGTGGGCCATTAAAAGTCTTTGCAATCGTGATGCCAAATATGTTCATCAAGTTATTGGAGATGGAGGAGCAGATCTTATCAAAAGAATCAAAGACAGCACTGAAGATCCCAAAACAAAAGAATTTGCTGAAGAAATTTATAAGAAGCTAATTGATGTGGGCGGACTCAAGGAAACTTAAAGATTTTGAGAATAATTTTCAACTTTTAATTCAATGCCTAATCAATACATATACAATTATTACATTATGTTCCATGTTTTTTACTTAATTCTAATGATTTTTGAAGCAGCTGTTGAATATGTTTCATTCATCTTCCTTTGCCTTCAATAAAATGTTAGGCAACTTATATTTTATGCAGATAATTATGAAATGAAGTTTCATCGCACCAATACCACACATCCATATAAATTCACAAGAGGGTTACTGCTTATCAACTTGTGATTGAAATAGTATATCATTCAAAAGCCACACTCCTCACTTTGCAGTTTCTGTGAACTCACTCATTGGTTATTCACTTGGTTTTTCCTTAACAATAATTTACTCGGATTTTTTTCATTGATTACTGTATAATTGAAATATAGATGATATCTGATAGTCATTACTTGCACACTTGTTATCAATATGTGCTGTGTTCTTGACAAATATTAGGGTTGATTAAATGAAAGCTTTTTTCCCTATAATTCCTATAAATGATTTATTTTTTAGTCTTTTAATGATTTTAATATGAATATAATTATGATTTAAATAGCTTTTTGTGACTATCTATCTGTTCTGTATTACTGTACAATTTACTGTCAGTCGATCGTGCTAAGTTCCCCTTTACTTTTCTTCAAATGATATTAAGAGCTATTCGAATTCCAATTTGCTTGAGTAATTTTATTAATTATTTGTGTGTGATACAGCTTCTGTTTGTGGTAAGATGCTTTTGCAAATGGAGTTATTGTATTGTAAAGGCATAAAATTATATACTTTCTAATTTGTATTCTTCTGGATTTAGTGTTTGATATGTAGTTTTTGCATAGCGTGTGAAATAGTAGTTTTTGCATAGCGTGTTGATTACTAATAGTTTGTGCTTGCGATGATAAAATAATATACAACCGCCATATTATATAGTACAATAAAACTCCATACTAATCGATCGGAGTGGTTTGGGCTACACGACTATATAATAACAGGCTAGCTGTGCAGTAGGCAGTGGAGTCAAAGACAATTTATAATCCACTCTAATTCCTAATTCCACTCGATTATTAAAATTAATACTTCCAAGTTGAAATAGTTTTGACCCGTTCTATCTCACAATTGAAAAATTGCTATCTCGACTCCTTGCTGTTTAAAAATACGATTCCGACGTCAGTGAAAACATGCAGAACACCCGACTCCAAAGCGCGGACATTAGGTTGGTTGAGCAATTGAATCATTTCAGAACTGAGGATTGGTGCATTCTAAAATTCTGATGTATGATTGCCATGAATCAAAAACCGCGCAACATTTGAACGCACAGTGAATATCGCACAGTACCCAGGTCGGTTATGAATTAACCAGTTTGTCAATATTTGGAATTGTGATTTTTAAGAAGGGTTCCCGCTCTGGGGCAGGGGGGGGGGGGGCAACCAGTCAGAGACCAAGAGCCGCATTTCGTGGTTTATTACCGTGAAGAGCCACATTATCAACAAGAACATCAGATATAACATGTACCTTCATTCAGCTCTGCAGGAATGATAGTTTATTCTAAATGTCACTAACCAAGTACACCAACATGATTATGATAGAAAATTTCAAGCCATTTATTGTTTTATGCATGCTACTTAGTGGAACCAATGACATTGGTGGAACTTCCGGTATTTCTTGTATTGAACAATCCTTTAGATATGGTTTGCGGGTCGTTGTAGCAAATCGAAGCAGTTCTTTCACATGGGTGCCAACAGATCCATGCTTTGTTTTCACGTGTTTCTGATCAGACCGCCGTCGGATAAGGACGTGAAATATCGACAGTGGAGTAAGAAATATTTGGACAAAAACTTGGAAAGCCGGACGAATAGCCTATAAACCAGGGGTGGGCAACATACGGCCCGCGACGAGATTTTGACCGGCCCGCTGACTGTATCCAACCACACTCTGTAATGTGATCCGACGCATCATTCATGAAAGTTGCCGATCGCTTTACTCTCGCCGCGCTGTCAGTGCGAGCTGGTGAAGTAAACAATTGCCTTAGTGAACAAACAATTGCGTTAGCACACTTGTTGAACAAACAATATAAGGTCAGAGCAGAGAGCGTTGTAAACACTCCCCCTACTGTTATCAGATATATATATTTGGAACCTAAATATATATAAAAAGATTTTAGAAATTAGATTTTATATTAAGTTTTATTAACCATGGAATAACCCAAGAAACGTAAAGTTAACAGAGAGTGTCGAGCATTTAACAAAGATTGGATACCAAAGTATTTTTTGTAATAATCCGGCCCGCCGAGGGCTTTATTTTTTCACATCTGGCCCGCTGACTAGAGAAGTTGCCCATCCCTGCTATAAACCCTACTGAGAAGATACATGCAAACTTAAATCAAAACGATGCTGTTGGATACAGTACCGATACCATAAGGATCAGTTCACATCAGATCATGCTGGCCTGCGTGGAGTTTATCATAGAAAACTGGTCGAAGCCGGGGATAACATGAACAGTAAAATGTAACGGCTCTTTGATCATGGATTCCATAAAAAAGACTGCTTAGGCAAAGCACATGAGATTTGATCAGAACTAAGGTTGGAACGCCAGGATGTGTAATGCTCTTGTCATATTTTACTTCGTTTGTTGTTGTTTTCTTTTGTGGTGCTTTTGTTAGTGTTGTTTGTCGTTCAGTGGACTATTAGTTGAGTGCCTTCGTAATCAAATTAATTTTATCGCATATTGCGCACCGCTTGTTTGTTTGTTGTGTTCTACAATTCTCGTTAATTCCATGTACAGATATAGTTGAAATTACTCCCCACACAACCACACCCAAGTATTTACGCCCGAATTATCTTTCGTGTTTTTGTTTTTAATTTACTTCAATGTGTTGTTTGCGGTAAGTTGGCACGTGCACCAGCGCGTTTTAAATCTTTTTTAGATGTTGCCCACTTTCCTGATTTTCCGTACATTTGTTTGTTTTGCCATGTATTGTTTTGTTGTACTGGAAAATCGAAATAAACACTTTCACGTGTTTTAGGGCAGAAAAGCGTAGCTCGTTTGACATTGGGGACTTGGGGTGTTTTTCTATTGGCTTGACAAGAGAGAATTTTAAACAATCCGTTGCGGAATTAAAGGAGTGGTCGACGACGTTATCTGTGACTATTTATCTGCACTCCAATTACTTCGTTCAAATACGTGTTTGCCGCCGAACTCACGATTACGACAGCCGTTGTAGTGTAATAAAGGCGTCTCCCAACAAATAATTTGATTGTGACGTTATATATAATGGACGAGTGCATGGTAAAGTGAATAAAGGCGCTCACGTATATTCGACGTAAGAGTAGAATACACGATGGATCCTAATATGTTTAATCGCGAATCGTAATTTGCAAGTAGTTTTTTTCTTATAATAACCAAAGCGAAGCGAGAAGAAGAAGTAAACCGCCACACGAAGGCTATATAATTTTCCCCCACGGGAGATCAAGAAAATCAGAAATCCGTTGGCAGACGTGTTTACGATGTTAGCACTAAGCGTTATCAGGTAAGTTATCAACGGCCATTATATATTCTAATAAATTAGTTTAACAATACCTTTCAGAAACGGTTTGATATAAAACTTGAACCTCAAAAATACACGGAAGACAAAAGTCAATCTACGAATGGTTGGTTTCGTTGTTGCTTTGGATGTTCTGCCACAACGCCCGTTGCTGTACGACTCGTAAATCGTAATATAGAGCTTATCGCGTTTCCCCTATTTCCACGAAAATGAATGACATCTATTTAACACTTCAATAAAAGTTTATCACAGATAGATCACATATAGATATATTATTAGGATATATTGATATATGATAATATCATTTTTCAATATGCTGATTAGGCTCCAAGGTCATATATATGAATTTTGGATGTAACTCCATGTTCGTACCTTTTAGAAAAATACATACGTATAAAACAAGTATGATAACCAGCCGTATGCATATTGCGCAGCAATTATATCAACAACTGACAGGCCTGTGGCAGGTTGGTAGGAGTTACTTTGAATTCTTAAGCCCTGGGGAGGCGACCGAGGTCTGTGTCACAATCAGTCGAGCTGAGTTTGAAAGGCACCTTACCCGACGAGGCAGTCAACCGCGATCACGCAGGCGATTCTGCCTAGGCGAGGCTTAGCCATTGCGCTTCCTTTATTTCTTTTTAAAAATAAATGACAAGGCATGACCGGCAGACAATTCTGTAAATTGATCTATCTCAACATATATTTGAGGCCCATTCTACGTGTCATTGAGGTTTTATGGTTGATTCATAGTTGTGTGTTTTATTTTAAACTTATTTCTTTCAGAGGCTAGTTGTGAAGACTGACACTGTGAACAAGCGTTAATTGAGAGTTTCTAGAACACGGGTCATGAAGTTAAACTGGCGACTATTTAAGTATAAAGTTGTTCTACTTATAATGCCTCATCAAAAGCAGGATTGTGCACAGGGTCCTCGTGCAAAAATACTTTTAGTTTAACCATGGATATGAGTGTGTGTGTATCTAATTCTATCAGTAGATCGCCACAGCTATGGTCTAGTCCAGCGTTTCCCAAACTATGTTCCGCGGAACACTACTGTTCCGCGAGCGTCTCCTGAGTGTTCCGTGGAAAAGGAATAAAAAATACGTGTAAATTAGTCGCAATGGCGATCTAAGAATCGTGAAGTTGTCGCTCAACTGACCGTTTAATATCGCTTCATCGTAGTCCTAAAGCGCACTAACTATGGTAGGGTAGTAGAATTTTCGTCAAACTTTTCTTCCTCCATCTCTGCCTGGATTTACTTTAAAATGCTGAAAAAATTACTCATGTTCGATAAAGGCCATTCAGCATATAAATAAACGACAGGGTTGCAGCTTGCTAAATTACAGCAAGTATCTCTATCTACATTAGACGTAACATTGGAGGCAAACACTGATTGATTCATATACACACAATTTAAATTAAGAAACAATACATCATATATATTAAATGCAATATGTAAAATATTCAATCATATTTTGGGTACGTTTAACACACTTCTGTTAGTTTTCGAGGCGCATTTGGCGATTCGCCTCGGCGAACCCATTGGCACCGCTACCTTACACCGTTTTTCTTTATCAATTTTAATCATTCATTTTTTGGTGCTCCGCAAGGCGAGATAAAAAGCGCAAGTGTTCCGTGGCCGGAAAAAGTTAGGAAACGCTGGTCTAGTCTATTTAATTGTTCTAATGGCGCTATGTAACGGAAGAGCATTCTTGCAAAATTTCCTTATACAATAACATCACAACCTAAACGTCCATTGATAACTAACGTATATAGTATAACGATGAAAATAAATAACAGTATGTACCTAATTATCTGAATACCTCACTCAGGGCCGGAGTTAGATGATGAGAGCTTAGGCCCACGTTTTCCAGCCGGGATAATCGAACGAAAAAGGCTGGGAACCACTGTCAAAGGCTATACCGTTTGTGAGGCCATCCCGATTGTGACATCATGCAAGCTTCTTTGACAATTTAATATGGCGCCATATATCAATGTATGGTGACGTCACACGTGAGTTTTTAAATTTTGAACGGAATACGAAAGTTATGTATGTTAATCTCGCACGTATATTTATTGTTTTGTTTTTTATCAATTCTAAAAAACATCGTGTTTTAAAACAAGGGCTTGTTTTAAATTGATTTTTTTTCTGTATTTTGGCCCTGATGGTTCAAAAACCTTGCCCACATCTGATTTAGACCATCAACAATGCTACACGTGTTAAAATGCTCAAATGTGCATAACCGCAAAAAAACGAGATAAACGTAATAAATAATGTTTGAACGTTGAAATGAGAGAACAATCTTTGCTGAGAACTTTATGATAGCATTAATATTATGTGAATTTTAATTGGATATTTTTCAAATCTTTCCTATTTTTTTTTATTTTTTAAAGCTGAGTGCAAGTACTATTAG